AACAGTCCTTGACCTCAAGGAGCTTACCTGCTAACGGAGAAGACAACTTCTAAAAGGGAGCTGAAAAATGAAGAAGGAAGATTCGGACAGCAGTGAAGGGAAGAAAAGAGCCCTCTGTAATCTTGTCCAGTTTATTTTTCTAGAATTATTGCACATTAATGCCCCTCACACACTTTTTGTTTCTGCTACACTGGCTGATCATAAATGACGTCCCATCTCCTACCTGGAATGCTATCCCTGATCATATGGGATCTTTGCTCCCTTAGCTCCTTCCAAGCTAAGCTTGTGTGCCCATTCCTACGAGACTTTTCTTCACCCCCCAACCCCCACCCCCGTTTTATTACCTTACACCCTACCATAGTACGGCATTTTACACTTTGTATAAAGGTTGCATTCAGTTATCTGGGTTCTTGCTCTTCTCTCCACCCCCAGAATTTTTTTTTTTTGGTCTTTGTATCTCGGGGCCTGGTATGGTGCTTGATGCATAGTAGGCCTTTTAAAATATTTTTTGAACTGAATCAAATCGAAAGACAAATTAAAACAGTCCCTGATCTCAAGGAGCTCACATTCTGCAATGTAATTCTACACCTCCTCTCAAGCTCCAACTTTACTTTGAAAAAAGTCAGGGCAAGGAAAAAAAGCTCTTTAGCAAAAAAAAAAAAAAAAAGCTCCTCGAAGCCCCTAGAGAAGAATTACATGAAGCACAGACTGACACACACTCTTTCATAAGTATGGGGCGGGGGCGGAGCATTTCTCACTTCCTCTTTCTGGACCACCTGCCTTTCCCCTCCCCCAGTTCTCAGGGCTCCACCATCTGGAGGGCGGTGGGTGCCTGCCCTGTCTCCACTCTTAGCACACCTGGATAAGTCGTCCATTGTCTACAAAGAGAGGGAGAGCAAAAATCACCCCAGCTTGCCTCCTCACCCCCCTACTCGAAGCGTCCCTATTGTACAAATGGAGCGCACCAATACGACCAGCAGCACAAAACACAAACGCTCCGAGTGCGCTGTCCCAGACCCCTATCCACCCGCTTATGTTGGGATGTGGGTGGGGCGGGTAGGGCCGAAAGAGGGGCTGGTCCGGGGGCGGATCTGTTTCCGAGCAAGAACTGGGAGGAGGACGCAGGTGGCATAGGGCCGCGTGACTCCAGCCTCACCCTGCGGTCCGCTGGTGTACGCGTGGGGGTTGGGGAAATGGGATTAACCTACTAGGCTCGGCCAATTAGCCCAACCTCTTGGCCACATGGCCTGGTCGTAGAGGGAGAGACCAGTTCTTTTCTCTTTCCAGACATGTAGGAGTAGGGCACACAGCTGTACTAACAGACAAAACTTGTTCCCACGTTCCCCGTTTCCTAGGAAATGAAATCCGTCATTTGGGTTGGAGCAGCCCCGACGAGGGCAGGGCCCCACACTGAGAAGCCAAGGGACTCAGGGTGGGGGAACCGAGCCGCTGCCCATTAACCCCTGAGTCCTTGCCTTCCCCAAGAGTGGGCAAGGTTGGGCTGGGACATGGTCGTATTAAAAAGCTGCGGAAATTATAGTAAGAATAGGGCCAGAGAGAAAATCTGGGACCATTTCATCCTTTCCCCATCCAGCCTGGGAGGAGACCCTGCTCCCCAAGGGCGCCAGGACCCCAAGTTTCTGGATTGGGAGAATCGGAAAAAGAAAGGCCTTCGAGCCCTCTTTGACGCCGATGACCTCTTAACGCCCATGACCTCTTAACGCCCCTCCCAAAGAGATAAAAGCTCCGGGCACCGTGATGAGGACACTAGCCGGGGCAGATACCCCTTCTCCCCACTAGCCGAAGAGCAGGATAGAAGAAGATGACCTACTTCCCTGTCCACAGCAAAACAAGACCAAGGCAATCTCAAAGCACCAAAAAAGTGGCGTCTAGAGAGCTTTGGGGTCCTGGGCTGAGCCGGTTTTGTTTTTTTAAGTAGAATGGGGTGGTGGTGCGGTTTTCTCCACGTGTCTCTGTGTAGATTGTCGTGCAGTCTCAGAGCAAACAGTCAATATTTATTAAATGCCTACTATGTGCCAGGTACTGTGTTAAGCCCGGGGAATACAAAGGAAGGCTTTCGAGGGGCTCACAATTTAAAGGAGGAAGACAAACACATAAAAAGAAGCTGAAGAGGGTGGGGTAGGGGAAGAGATGGTACCGGGCTTGGGGGCATGATGACTTTCTTACAGCTGGGTGGGATATGATGATCTCCCGGCCAACCTTCTTAAACAGAAGATATAGGAAGTGATCACAGGCTAGATCTTTTTATCCCCCCCAACAGATCAACAAATATTTATAATCTCTTATACTCTACCCTAGTCAAATTCAGGAAAAGGAAGGGCAACTGGGGGCGGGAAAGATCCCTGGACTTAGTCCTTCCTGGACAGTGGTAGTCCATGAGTCCTCTCCAAATCGCTGTCCCTGTGGGAATTTAGGTCTTTTCCCCTAGCCCACCTCTACCTGACTCCTCCCTGGTTAGGGTGCTCAGTGGGACAGAGGCTGTTGTGTATACTAGTTACTTCAGATGCTGCCTGGGCCCTGGGAAGGGGACCTACTAGCATTTAATGGAACTGGAAGAGACGACCTAAAACAATCTAATTCAACTTTTATCTCCTTCCCCACAGCACTCCCCAATTTTACAGATGAGGAAACTGGCTCAGAGGCTGTTGACTTGTGACTGGCCCAAGGTTTACCAGAATGCCACAGAACTAGAATATAGAAGCCTCCCCAAATAAAAACAGCCCAACCTAAAACTGACCAGTCTAAAGCTTGGGCATTTCCCTGGCCTGCTGGGAACGAGGATGGCTGCATTTTCTATCATCAGGCTAGTCTCCACTGTCATCCATTCCCTCATCTGTCATCACTGGACATTGATTGGAGCTGGGCTTTAGCCCAGGCATGGTATCTAAACAGGCTTTGTCCAGCACACAGCAAGACAAATACAAGATTCATGAAAGCCTTTACAAATAAGAGATGTTATGAAAGTGAACTAAACTAGTTTAGAAGTAAACCAATTTCTGGATCAATTACCAAAACAAACCTGCAGGTACTAGCAGAGGAAGGAGACCCATCAGGAGTGTGTGGGGAGCATGGGGGAACTAAGGCATTATGGGAGTAGCCCACTTAAACAAGGAGTTGGGGAGGTGGGTTTTCAGGAGTTGTTTAAACAAAGGAAAGATGAGTTGATGGGTTGGGGCTCCCCTCCCCCCAGTGGGCTGTAGGGGTGGAGACCTTGTTTATAGTTTAGGAAGTTGGGGTGGCTGATTTGGCAGGATGACCTTTAACAGGAACCCCACCGCCCCCTCCCTGGCCAGGAGTGTGGGAGGCAGCACAAGATGTGGTCAAAGATGTTTGTTTCTTACTGGGAGGAAATTAATGAGAACCTGCCACTTCCTTCCAGGTTGGGCAGCCAATCTTACAGGAGAATACAGGGACTTGGGGAACTCAAGGGTGGGGGCACAGGACCCAAGGCCAGAGCATAGGAGAGGTTTTTCCTTCAGCTCACCTCTTGGGGGGGGGAATCTCAGAAGACATTGCCCCAGGGTGTATGCCACCCTTTTCACTGGAACTGCACAGATCTTTGGGCCTGAAGGTTTACTCTAGTGTTGTCTGCCTCCTTATCTTGGAAGCAGAACCCAATCAGTAGATTCCCTGGTCCTGCAAAAGCTTCTGAAAACAGACCATACCTCCACCCCCACTTTCATTCAGTTCCACATGGACAGGATTTCCCCAGGTTTCTCATTTGTTTACTTAATCCTAATCCATTGACCATGACCACAGGTCCATTATCTGTACCCACACAATCCTCCAAAACCCTAGGAAGCATCTGACCAATAGGCATATTAGCCTCTATTACACCAAGGTGCCTCTGCCTCCCCCTCCCCCTACTCTACTCACGAAAGCCAACTCTGGAGTTCTCCCATCTGAAACAACCAAACATCTAAGCAATGCCTTGTAGAATTATCGAGTTTTTTCTGAATCTTTTGAAGTAACCATGATTTTTGTTTTTGTTCTGTGTTCAATTATACTTACTGCTTTCCTAATACTGAATCAATCCTGCATTCCTGGTATGAATCCAGCTTGGTCCTAGCATATCTTTGTGATATATTGTGTAATGTCCTTATTAGTATTGCATTAAATTTTTTGCATGAATATTCATTAGGGAAATCAGTCTATAGTTTTCTGTTTTGACTCTCCCTGGTTTAGGTATCAAGACCATACTTGTGTCACATGAGGAATTTTTGGACTCCATTTTTGCCTGTTGTTTTCCAGAGTCTATGTAGTATTGAAGCTAACTGTTTGATAGAATTAGCTTGTAAATCCATCCAGTCCTGGGGTTTTTTGTTTTGGGAGTTAATTTATGGCTTGTTGAATTTCTTTTTCTAAGATAGGGTTATTTAAATATTCTATTTCCTCTGCTGTCAATCTGGACAATTTATACTTTTGCAAATATTCATCCATTTTATTTGAGATTGCCAGTTTTATTAGCAGAGCCAAAATAATTGCTTTTTTTCCCCCTTTGTTGTCTGTGAATTCACCTTCTGTTTTGATAATGGTAATTTGGTTTTCCTTTCTTTTTAATCATATTAGCAATGGCTTATCCATTTCATTATGTGGGTTTTTTTTTAAACCAGCTCCTAGTTTTATTAGGTCAATGGGTTTACTTTCAATTTTGCTAATCTCTCCTTTGACTAGCTTACTTCTACAAAGTACTTGCCTCAAGACCCTGTGAAATGGATAGCTAGAGGTCTCATCCTCTCAGGTGGCTTAGTGAGGACAATGACTTTCAAAAGCACACAAGCAGCAAATGTCCCAAGAGGGGTTAAAATCTGAGGTTTCTTCCTACATATGGCACTGCAGAGGTTTTCAAAAGGCTGCAGCATTTTTTTCGAGTCATGCTCCAAGAAGCATTTTTACCTTCAATTTGTCAGTGTTCCTATTAGTAAAATGAGCCTTTGGACCTTGTTCTAACTGTGCAGATAGGAGCGCAGACACAGAAGACTGCTTAACCCTTTTTAATTCTCCTCCTTGACATCCAACCCGCCCAAACAATCTTCCTCAATGAAGACAGCATGGAGGCAAGGAAGAGGGCCCTGTGGACACTGTTCATCCTTCGTTAGGACTAGGAGCTCCCTTGGGACCATCAGAGTCAGGAGTCACGGTTTGATATGCTCCAGTGGCTGCCCAGGCTGTGACCATTAGTTCAAGTTACCAGGGCTCAGAATTCTATCCATCTGTTCCCAGGGTCTTCCAATTAGCAGCGGCAAAGATGATTAGTGGCTGACAGCAGTCAATTACCACTGGGATGGGGGGAACCTTCCCCAAGTAGACATTGTTTCACTTGCTTCATCTATCTCCCCTGGGAGACAGGGCAGAAGGTGTGGTGAGTGGTGCTAAGTGGAAGGAAAGGCAGAAACTCTTTTGCCCTTTCCCTACCTAGACCCTCATAGCTCAGGAAGACCCTACTAGTGACAGTGGAGGGAGGCCCTCTCTGCCCCTCCAGTAGCCTCAAGGATGAGGTGCTCACAGGGGTGAAGGCTCAACTCAGTGCAGAGGGCCATCTTTACTGAGGAAAACATAGGGTACCTGGAACAGCTGGCACCACAGAAGATTCCCAGACTCTGGACTTGTGGTGTCAGCCCTGGACAACATCCTCTTGTGTCCTCTCCAACTTCCCCCTCCCCCCAGCTTCAGGCCTCCAGCTCTTCTGTTCTCCCTCCCCAGGACACCAAATTACTCAGTGTCCACCCCCGCCACCCCCTCTGCCCATCCTAAGTCCATAGTGAACCCACAGGTCTTTCGTCACTGGCTCATGCACATTGTGAATGGCTGCTTTCCACACCCTCCAGTGGTGTTCAGACCTGTCTTATGGAAGGGTAAGCCAGGCCAAGCAGTCCAAGTCTCTTGCTTCCCAACACCTGGTGGGGTGGGGTGCGGCAGTACGAGCTAAGCAGCTCCATGTCCCAGTCCCTGAGCCCCACCTACACCCACAGCCACCCCTCCCCACACTCCTTCCAGAAGGCCCAGAGCTCCCACATGGGGGCTTCCCCAGGTCGCTCCGTGTTCTGGGTCCACAGGAATCCTGGGGGGTGGCAGTGGGGAGCGTATGAAGGTGAAGGAGAGTCATGGCCTGTCAGGTGCACTGTTGTTGGTCCCCAGGGTCAGGTGGGGCTTTTTGTGAGGGGCCCCTCCAGGAGGGGCCTCCTCGTTCTCTCGGTCTTTCCAAAGTTCCCTCTCCTCCACTTTGCGCTTGTGCATGAGGGGGCTCTGTGCGTCGTCACTCAGCTTCCCCTCAGGGAGCCCTAGGCTTCTCAGGCAGACGATGGCTGCGGCTTGTTCCGCCAGCTTCTTGGACTTGTCCCTAGGAGAGGACCAGGCACAGAGTGACAGGAAGTGAGGCAAAGATCTCAGGAGCAGCCAAAGCATAAATAAGCCTTAGGCTCTTCATTGGAGCCTGATCTGAAGAAGACAGGCTTCCAAGGCCAAGGACATCATTCCTCATGGTCCCCCAAGGATCTGTCAGCTAGTGGTCACCAGGGGAAGTGTAGAACAAATTCGGCATGCACCTTCAACCCCTTACCCTGAATAAGGGATGACATTATTGACAAAGATTGTCTACATTGTGGCAGAGCGGAGAGGGAGCTGCTCTGGGCCAGAGGGAGACCTGGTCCAAGCCCTGCCTCTGACGTGTGTTAGCTGTGTGTCTGGGGGCCTCAGTGGCCCAGACTTGCAGTTATGCCTCAGTGGGAGCATGTCCACAATGGCTGCTCCCTGCATTGCTCACATCTCAGGTCACAACAAAAAACCATTCTTCTGTTTATTTATCTGAGCACATGCTGCTTTCCCAGAGGAACAGATGCTCCCTGAGGACAAGGCTATTTCCCATGATGGCCTTTGTATCCTGAGGCACAAGAGGAAATACCTAGCATTAGGAATATTACCTGGTGATGGCTGGAGATTCCAGCTGCCTCGGGTGTTAAGCACAGAGAGAGACAATGTCTGAGATGCTGGGCGGGGGAGAGACTGACCAGTGGGGGCCAACTGGTCCCTTGCCTACCCTTGGGCTGATGAGATGGTATTATCCCCAGTCTACAGATGGGGAAATTGAGGCTCAGAGAGGCTGAGGATCACGATCAGGGTCAATTAGGAAGAGGTGGGGGCTGGGAACTCAAGTCTCTTGTTACTCTCCTTCCCTACTCTTTCTTGCCTCTCTGCTGGGTGGGGAAGGAACATTCAGAGGGGCAGCAGGTCGGAGAAAGAGAGATCTGGCTACTTACCACAGTGCTGATTGGTACTTGTGCTCAGAAACAGTGACAATGGAGCAGAACAAGCGGTCCACTGGTCTCTGGATCTAGATGGGGAGAGTACAGATGGGGCCCAGGGCCACAGGTGACTGCCTCGGAGAACGGAGATGCACCCTTGCGACTACGCCTAAAGCAATGTTTTCTGCTGAGGGTCCCTGGGAAGAAATGGAAGAGCCCCTATCCCCAGGCTGCTCTTTTGCCTACCCCTTCACAGATTGCTGTGCTGACTAGTCTACCACAAATCTGTGTCCTCTCTCTAACAACATCTTGAGGCTCTGGTATGAGCTTTACAAAATGAGGGCCTCACTGACCCTCACAACAACCCTGCAGCTAGCTGTTACTATCTTGAGGAAACTGAGGAAGCCAGAGGTTAAATTACCGTAACTTTTCTTGTCACTGTGTTCATATAATTCCTGTGTGTCTTGGCAATTAGTTCATACTTTTTGTAGTTACTTTAATGGGAATTTCTCTATCTCTTCCTACTGAATTTTGTTGGTAACATAGAAATGCCAATCACTTATGTGGGTTTATTTTCATTTACTTTTTTTCACCTGGCCCTCTTTTTAGTTGCATCCTCTGCAAAAAGTAACAGTTTTGTTTCCTTTTTTCTTATGCTTACTCCCTCACCTTCTTTTTCTTGTCCAATTGTTACAGTTAGCATTTCTGGAACTACATTGAATAATAACGATGATAATGGGACACCCTTACTGGAAAAGCCTCCAGTTAAATCTCCATTACAGATAATGCTGGCCCTTGGTTTTAGACAAGATGCTACTGAAAGTATCAAGGAAAGATTTATTTCTATTTTCTAGTGTTTTCAACAGGAATGGGCATTGTATCTTGTCAAAAGCCTTTTCTACATCTCCTGGTTTTTCTTGTTCTTGTTAAGAATATGGTCACATGTTTATAATTTTCCTAATACTGAACCATCCCTGTGCTCCTGATATTAATCTGGCCTGGTCAGAGTACATCATCTTTGTGATGTGCTACTGCAATGTCCCTGCCAATAATTTATCTACAATTTTAGCATCAATATTTTTCTTTTTGTTTTGACTCTCCCTCGTTTAGGTCTTCAGACCATACTTGTATCACAGAAGGAATCTGGTCATTCCTTTCTTCGCTGCCATTTCTCGGTGTCCTTCCTCAGTGACTTGTGCACTGGCACAGCTCTCACTCTCTTCCCAGCCCTCTAACCCTTCCCTTTGCTGGGTCTTCACCCAGGCCTCTCCCCAGGGCCCTCTTCTCTTGTCACTCTCTAGTAGAGGCATCAAACATGCAGCCTGAGACCGATGTGCAGCCTGCAACATCCTACGTGCAGCCCCAGACAAATCAAAATGTAACCAGCAAATAGTTAACAAAATAAATAACAGTACAATAAAACACAGATAATATTACATTTCAAAACGAAGTCGCTCTATGGCCCTCAGGGTTCCTTATGTATGGATTAGTGGAGACTGACATCACTGCTCTATGCTATCTGCCTTGGTATTCTCATTAGTGCATATGGGTTCAATGACCACATCCAAGATGTCTCTTAAATCTGTCTCTCCAGCCCCAGACCCCTTCCTTATCTCCAGTCACGCATCACCAACTGCCTTTTGGACATCTTAACTGGATGCCCCACAGACACCTCAAAATAGCCCCATCCAAAACAAAACTCATTATCTTTCCTCCAAAACCTTCTCCTAGACTTCCTGTATGTCGTGGACACCACCATTCTCCCACAAACTAATTCAAACAGAAAAGACTTCAGGAGCCATTTAGCCCAATTAAACCTTACAACAACCTACCTGACAAACGGCTGCCTAAGCCACATCCGAAGAGCTCGGACGAGGACGCGCCAGCCCCGGCTGATGTGCCATCCCACTCTGGTCAGTTCTCTAGTAAGACCTTTTTCCTTTCATCAACCTAAACCTGCCTCTTTGCACCTTCCGTCCACTGCCTCACCTCCCCTGAAGTCCCTGTGAACAGAGCCATCTTATCTCTTCTAAGCCCACCCTCCCCAGCTCCTTCCCCAGATTCTGGTATGGCCCATATGTGAATGAGGCCATTCTCCGGATGTGTCTTCTCCATTTTATCCAATTTATCCATTTTCTCCGAAAGTGTGGCCCCCAACTGGACCCCGCACTCCAGAAGTGGTCTGCCCTGGGCACAGTGCAGAGATGCCACTTCCTCACTTCTGGAAACCAGGCCTCTCTCAATACTGCCCTCTTTGCAGTGGTGTTTTTGGTTACCTTATCACCCCAGGGCTCACACTGAGTTTGCGGTATACAGAAACTCCCACATCCTTCTCAGAACCACTGTTGCCTGTGTCTCTTCTCTTAAGACTGTGAAGCCAATTTTTAAAGACTCAAATATAAGACTTCACATTTTATTCCCATTAAATGTTAATTTATGACATTGCCCAAATTTTCTGGGCCATCAGCTAATATGCTAGCTATTCCTCTCAGGTCTGTGCCATATGTAAATTGATAAGCATGATATTTGTATCCAAGCATCTTCAACAAATCACTGATAAAAATGTTGAGAAGCACAGGACCACGCACATATCCTTGGGGTAATTCACTGGGGACCCACCTCCAAACGGACACCGCACCATTAATGGCATTAATAGGCAAACTATAGGCATTTTCCTGATTGACCAGTTCAGGACCCCTTTTAAAGGAAGAAATACAATTGGACTTTTATTTTCTATTCTTGGCAAAACCATGCTGGCTCTTTGCTCCCTTTTTTACACGCCCTCTCGCTATCCCTTTAATAATGCTCTAGAATTTGCAAGGAATTGAAATCCAGCTCGTGGGTGTACAGCCTGCAGATTCTATCTGCTTCCCCTCATTTGTCCTCCAGCCCCGTGTCGCCCAGCCACTCACTGTAAGCTTTCACCTGTCACTGACAGCGGCTCAGCAATCTAAGTCATGAGTCCTTTCATTCCCCAAATACGACGTCCATCTGGCCAGATGAGCTGGATTCACCAAGGACATCTAAGCAGTCCTTATCAGCCATTTTTGTTCTGTCCTTTCCAGTCCCAAAGTCAGGAAGAGAGGTGCAGGGGAGAAGCACACTGGAATTCCCTGGAATGAATCCTTCCTCACCTTACTCGTGGTAAGAGGAGGGCACTGGACCGAGGCTCTCAGCCTGTGATCCCATGAGCCTCCTCTTTGCCCCAAACACAGCTGCCTTCCTCACTCCCTCTTCTGGCCGTCCTTAGCTTTCCTTCCTAACCTCAGCTCACTCTCATGCCTGACGCCAGTCTTCCGGCACACCCGGTGCCAGTCTTCTGTACCAGTGCTTTGTCACCTGCCCTTGCTTCCACAGTCACTACTTATCTGTGGAAAATCTAAGTTGGCAGGTAAGCTCTCCGTGTACCCACACTGTTCTCTTCAGACAATTCCCATTATTTCTTCTTACTGGAATTGTTTTTCTGTATGACTTCAAAATGTAATTCTTGAGAGTTTCACATCCCTTCTGGGCTGTCTTCCCTTGTTAGAATTGTAGTTACAGGATCTTCTTTATCTTTTCCTGAAATATATGTGCTCTCTCAAAACTAAGGTGAATGTCAGACTATACATGGCTTTCCTGTCCTTCTCCACCACAAAGTCTAAGGAACTAACACTTTGCCCTGCAGTGTTCCCATCATGTTCTCCTTAGCAATCAATTCTTCCTTATCAGTGAGAATCGGATCCAGATTAGAATTTCTTTTGGGTGCTTCCTCCACACTTCGAAGGATGAAATAATTAATTAAAGCAGTCCAAGCAGTTGTTAGCTGCTCTGGCTTTACAGGTGTCTGGATAACCGAAGTCCACCACCACTACGAGATCATGCCCCTGGGCCAGGCTCCTGTTTTGCTTCCTGAGCTCACTGATTTCTTTTTTCTATGTGCTACGTTAAATATGTTAGTGCCCCCCACCACACTTCCCCATTGGTTCCTGGGTTTCCTAATATGAGTAAACCTTCTTAATGTACGATGCTACCCCACAGCCTATCATGTTTCTAAGGCAGCTGGTGGGACAGGAGACGGAGCCATGGGCCTGAAGTCAAGAAGCCCTGAGTTTGAATCTGGCCTCAGACAAATACTAGTTGACTGTGGGCAAGTCACTTAACCTGTCTGCCTCAGTTTCCTCATTTATGAAATGGGGGTAATAATAGCATCTATGCCCCACAGTTGTTGTGAGGATCCAATGAGAAACTATACGTCAGATACTCGGTAAAGCATAGATCAATGCTGCTGCTATCATCATCACCACCATCATTTCTTTTGAATAAGGTACCCTCCCATCCAGAGCCATGGTCCAGTCCTGGGTCTCATCTAACAAAGCTTAGTGATACCGGGGCAGTCACATTTACCTGCCCAGGTCACCTTGCTGGCTTTCTCCACTTTTCTTCACGTGGCAGGGATGCCAGTCTTTCTATCTATGGGTTACCCTCTGGCTCACTGATATTCTTCCTGCACTGAGTACCCCATTCCATCCAATCTGGCCTGTCTAGGGAAGAATCCACCAACCCCCTCCTCACTATGGGCAGTGGGCCTCTCCTAAGGCAGCCCTATAACATGGTAATATTTCTGGTTGGGCTATCTCACTGATGAATCATACTGATCCTGTCATATACTATAATTCCAGGAATGTTCTTACACAAATGGTTGCCTAGCTACACCTCCTCCCCTCCTTTTCTGGGCAGCCAATTTTTCTGAAGCCAAGTCCATGACATTTATCCCTCTCCAATCTCATCTTCTCGATTTGGTTTCCTGTTTTATCTGATCTCCTAAAGATCTTTTTGACCCAACTCTGTCATCCCCAGTGCTGCTTCCCTCCTGGCTTTGTCATCCGTAGACTTGGAAGAACTTCATTTATTTCTTTAACCTTGCAAGTCACTGATAAAAAAAATGTTGAATGGCACAGGAAAGACCCCCAAGACCCTCCACTAGAAACCTCCTTCTAAGTTGACCTATTAATTCTTTAGTTTGGTCAACCAGGTCAAAATTCGCCTAGCTACATCATCACCTAGCAAACAATTATGATAGTGGCATATGCCAGATATCGGATAACTGCTTCTAATTCAATAGTTAACTTTTAAATTAATCAGGATTCACCAGCTGGGCAAGATACACATGACAGGAGGGCATCGTCACTGTCCTGCCTTGTGATAGGGTAAGGTCTCTGGAAGTCCCTCTCAGTTTCAGACTTAGTGGACTGGGCCTCTTAGATGATCTGGTGTGAGGGGACTCAGGGAAGCTCTTGTTAGTGCCAGGCCTGCTCAGGTCTGTCTCTGGACCCACAGAGGGACCACTCTGACTTCTATCCACTCCCCACTCCCACCAAACCACACACGGGCTTTTTGGAGCTAATTTTGGCCTAATATGCTGCCCCAAATAGGCCTCCCCTAACTTACTGAAGCAGACATGAAATGGATTTTCCCCTGTAGCCTGCCAGACCAACAGGCACAGCAGAATGGACTACCCCCACCACCAACTCACTGTTTCATACACTGGCTGGGCTAACTTCTCCTTCCGGCACCATTCCAGCAAGCACATCTTAGGTGTGATCTGGGGTGGGTATTGTCTCCTGAAGGAGAAAAGAAGTCAAAAATGAGTCCACTTGTGGAGAATGGAAGAAAGGGAAGAGGAGAAAAGATTGTCAACCAGCTCTCCCTTTCTTTCCTTCCTTGCTGGGTGCAGCCAACACAAATGGATGCATTGTAATGGATGCAATTTATCTGCCAGGCAGCTCCTGGCTGCTCTCCTCTCCCTTCTGATGCTCATGGATCTCAACTGTCTGGTTCTGAAGAACAGAGGAAGTACTGAGAGGAGCTGGATGGGCTGTGAGAATGAACCACCACATCCAGGAGCTCTCCTTGCAACACTGATCTCTCACTGATCTACTGAGAGCCTGGGATCCCCTGGAACCCTCCCTAAGGCCCACCGCAGTGGAAGCAGAAAAAAGTACTGGCTCTGATGCCTAAGGACACGGGTCTGACACCAGCCCTGCAGCTTGATACCGTGCAACCTTTCTCTCTTTGGTCCTTACTTTTCTTGTCTGTTAAATGAAGGGGCTGGACCAGATCACCTCAAAGGTCCCTCCCAGATATAAATCCCAATGTCCACCTGCCCACCGGGGAGTGACAGCAGCCCAAAAGGAGCCATCCCAGCTCCCAAGAAGAGCAAGCCCAACTCTGCTGATGATGACCAGCAGCACCGCCTGGGTCAGAAGAGAAGAGAGAAAGAGGAAGGATGGAGGAGTCAGGCACTCGCTGGGCAGCAGTGCTCATGCAGAGGAGGTGCAGAAGCATCTGTACAGATGTGAGAGGCGCAAGAGAGGAATGAAAGCATCAAGATTCCACGTGTCCTATTATTTGGATGTTCTGCTAAGTCAGCGGCTGCCTCTGTCACCCGATGGCCTTCTCACAAGAGGATGGCCAGCCCTGCTGCTCCTGAGGCCCTCTCTACACATAGGCAAGGAATGTCCCTTGCCCCTGGTCACTGAAGTTGCCTCCAGAACGAAGGCCCTGCAACCAAGCCCTGGGGGAAGGGACAGATCCCAGCTCACAAAGCATGGCGAATCACATGCAGGGACGAAATTCAAAGCAAAGAGACTCACAGGGGAAAACCAGCAGGAGCATCCCAGGCAGCCTGTGCAGCTGTCACAACAGGATGATTAGTGTAACAAATGACAACAGCATCAGGAAAACAGAAGGGCTCAAAAAGGGCTAAGGCTCTGGGAAAGACCCCAGAGCAGAGGCCGCATGGGAATGGGGATACGGGTGGGGAGAAGGAAGATGGTCCTGGACCGATCTTAAGTTCTCCGTCAGAGCCCTGAGAGGCAGCCAACCTCCTCCAGCCAAAGGGCCCCGCAGTGGCGGTGAAGAAGGGAGGGCGGGGTAAAATGGATTCCTGGATTTAGTCAGCAATGAGCTGTTCTTCTGATGTTACATAATGCCCCCTTCCGATTCCTCAACTAGGAAGATTACAGGGGAGGGCAAGCATCATAAGCTCTCATGGAACTTCTTACCAGAAAAAGGGGGCTTCTATTTTCAGAAAGATGCCCTTTCTTGGGAGTGATATGTCTATAATGAAATCTTCAAGTCAGAATAAAAACCATCGAGAAACATTTGAGCTTCCTTTGGGGTGAGGGGAGCTTCACAGTGCAAGCCAAGGAAAACTTCTCTTCTGGGCTCCAAGAACTCCCTTAGGGGTCACACCACTCAACACAAACACCTTGAGAAAGAATCCCAGAAGGTCAAAGTCGTTTCCACGGGGTTAGAAAAGATGACAAATCAGGTTTGGCCCTCGGCCACCAGTAAAGGCCTGAGCAGCTTGCTTATTACTACAATGAAGGGGTTTGCTGACGATAACCCCACAACATCAGGCTTTATGCACCATGTTCAGGTTGCCTGGGGACTCTCCTCACAACAGCCTTGTGAGGTGGGCGGTACCATAATCATTATCCCCATTTTCCAGATGAGGAAACTGAAGCTCTGACAGGCTAAGAACTTGTTCATCATTCTATAGCTAGTAAGCAACACAGATCCGAACCCAAGTCTAGGGCTCCATCACTGGAGTACGTTGCTTCAGGCGATCCTTGCTGTCCCTTCTGGAGTGCCCTCCCGCCTACAAGCTTATGACTTACTTGTCAAACTTAACCGCCATTTTGATGACATCAGCGTCTCCAGCCTGGGCATCCTCCTCCTGAGCATCGTTTTGGAGTGTGGCTGCTTTGGCTGTCAATTCTGCTGTTATCTTCTTATAGAAGCTGCCCAATTCAAAGGCGTCACTGTGGAAGACACCAGAGCTTCCTTAGCAACACACAGCACGGCTGATTCTCAGCAGGCACCAGAAAAATGTGGCGCTCCCTCCCTCCCAAACTGGTGTGTGCTTGCCTTCTGCCCTCTTCACTCTCCTGGACCTACCAGGCTACACTCCTATTGCCACATGCCACATCTTACCAGTTCTTTGGCTCACACAGTTGCTGTTAAGCGACCAAATATCCTAGACTGGTAAGAATTTGAATTGGTTGCAATGGTTCATCACCACCATGAGGAGACACTGTGGTCCCTTGGAAATACACAATTCGGCAACTGCTGACCAGTTAGGAAGGGCCCACTTGCTGTCTTGCTGCTGCTGGGGTACTAAGGGGCTAACTATACCCAAGCTGGAGGCTTTAGATCACCCAATCAATCTTGATCTTAGCAGGGTCTTTATAAACATAAGGGAGATACATTGGCAAGACTGCTTCTCAACCAACCCTTTCTTTGTAAGGGCAATGAGTGTGTCTCCTGCCCCACCAAACGCATGGTTTCAGCAAAGATGGAGAAGAGAAGCCTGGAAGCTCAGCAAGGACCCTTATATCAGATGATGACAGCTCACCTCCTTCTGTCCAATAAATGCCACACACCTGGCCAGAGCCTAACCTTCAGGACAACTGCCTTCTCTCACCTGTCCACTGAGGACTCTGCCCACCAAGGCTGCCTTCAGAGCCAATGCGGTCACTCACCCAGCCACCACCTGCCCCAAGAAACAGGCTCAGAAACATAAGGAGTGGCCCTTTTCGTCTGTTCTGACCAGCAGTGACCTAAGGAGTCTAGATGACTTTTGGCATGAGGTGAAAGCACCGACCACCCTCTGCCAGCATGCCATCACTTAAAGTCCGAGGAAGCCTTCTCTAAGCCCTCTGGCTGGTAGAGACCTTCCCACTCGGACCTCACACAATACTTTTGTTTTGCTTCTATTTAATGCACTTATCATGTGATGTTGAATGTTCTCATCATCTCTATGTGTGTCTCATTTCTCTCTTCTAAGCCTTTTTAAGCTTCACAAGGGCAGGCACTATGTCTTATCTAAACTCTGTATCTTCCCCAGCCTAGAACAGAGCTTGACCCACACTGTCACTTACAAGTAGAGCTGAGTAGTGGGCTGAATTTAATAACAAGAAACTGAGTAGGGGTAAATGTAAAGATTTGCATAGGTTCAAAAAATCAATTTCACCAGTATAGGATGGGGGACCTGACAGTGAGGTTCGCTTGCAAGGCCACCTATGACAATTATTTTAGTTTGTTTTCTACAGGTAACACCTGGCCAAGCTAAGAGGAGCTTTGCTCAAACAAGTCTGTTGTTTCTTTCCAATGTGATAACAGTGGCACCACCACCTACTGCAATTTACCTCTCCAACCTTCCCTCCTACCATTACCCTACATTTAAAGATATTTTCACTGATTCATTTCCAAATATATCACTCTTCATTCCCTACTTGGGGAACCATTCCTATTAACAAAGAATCCCAAAAAAGGAAAAAAAGAAATTCAAAGAACCAACACTTTGTGTTTGACAGTATACCCAATATTCCACAACCATAGTCTTTCACCTCCTTGTATTCAATTTTATTCAACAAATACTTATTACATACCTACTAACAGGCTCACTGGAAGAAAATATAGGGAGTCAACTGACAGGCTAACCAAAAAAATTGAGAGAGAACATCTCTTTCTTACCCAGTTTTGTTTTTCAAATTCACAAGCTCAACTTACATTTGGGTTCTCATTTCCTTTCTGAAATATATAAAGTAACACGTCTGAAAAGCTCTGGAGAACTTATGGATAAATCAGTAGTGTGATGTGGCAGCCAAAAAAACTATTGCAATCTCGAGCTGCAGTAAGAAAGGCACAGCTTCAGGGAATGCGGTTGTATTACAACAAGCCCTTTGAAAGCTGCCCCAGAGGCCACACTTCAAGCACAGGGCTCCAGGGATGTCTGGACAACCATTTGTTCAGGGATGTTGTACAGGGGATTCAGATTGGCCTGGAAGGACTGAACAAGGTCCCTTTCTTAGATTGGTCAATCCTGTACCATCTCTATTCTCCTAACTTCTCTAACACTTACAACAACCATAGAGAACTCTCATTTCACACCAGCCCATGTTCATGGCAGCCTTCTAACCACTATTTCATCTCCGTATCTATGTCCTATCTGCCCCTCGAGGGCAGGGATCAGATTTTATGCTCCTCTGGGAAAGGTCCTGGGGGCCCAGGGAAGCTCCCTGAGGCCTCAGGGGCTCTGTAGAGGGGCCCTGCCTGGCCCCCTCCGGGGGATATGGAAGCTCCCAGGGATCTGGGATTGATTCGGCCTTTGTCTTTGCATTCTCAGGTCCCACACACAGCTGGTGCTCAATGAACTGCTACCTGACTGATTAAGAATCCCTGACGGGTCTGACGAGGACCTTGGAGGGAAGGAATGAATCTCCACCCCAGCCACTACTTCTCAGCCTGCCCCTGGTGTAGGGGCTTCCTCCCCAGGCGGCAAATCTCTCTGGCTATCCCCCATACGCACCAGATTTCCTGGGAAGACTGGGCAGCATGGAGCTTCTTTCCCTGGGGAGTTTCTAGCTGTTCTCTCAGCATCTGGCACAAGCAGTACTTGGTGTTAGTGTAGTGGTTATCGTATCTCACCGCCTGGGAGGAAGAGTGAAGAAAGAAAGAGACTCAGGGCTGAGGAGAGGTCAGTGAGGCACAGGGACTGTGTGCAGGATGAGAGAAGAAGGGGGCCTCTCTTTTCATGACCCTTCATGAGGCTCTGAAGTCAGAGGATCTGGGTTCAAATCCTGTCTAATTTCCTTGCCTGTAAAATGAGAGGGTTGGGCTGGAATGCCTCTGAGGCCTTTCGCAGTACAGACCTACGACTGACCTATGGCTCCTGCCTGGGCCAGGAGGGCGGCGGGATTCTTCTTGAGCAGTGACATGAGATTAGCTTCCTTGGCACCACTGGGGGCCTTTATGTGGTGTTTTAAGGTTTTTCAAGGGGTTCCTTTATGCTAACCCTGTGAGATGACCACCATCTGACTTGTCTAAGTTCCTATGGCTAGGCAGTGTCAAAGTCAGGACTTGAATCCAGGTTTCTGACACCATGGGTGGCCCCTCCCTCACTCTCAGAGGAATTCACACACCTGGTTCCTCTTATGAGCAGGAAAGAGTGTTTAGTTTCACAGAAGAAGTTGTATCTTAAACCAAGTATCTGATCCCTCTAAGTATGGGGTGAAGAGGCAACCATCAGAAGCCAAACACGAGAGGGGAGGGCGCCCTCAGAGAGGATGGACAGCTATCTGCTATCTCTACTATTTTTCCTTCCCTGGCCTGGAGCTTTCAGGATGCTTCACAGACGATGAGAAAACTTTGCAATTCATGTTTCCTAGGATGGCGAGGCAGGGGGGAGAGGCCCAGGAGGGCACATGATCCTTCATCAACGAATGGGATGCTACCTCCTAGGAAAGCCCCTGCAGACCCTAGTCATCAGCTACACCTAGGTGGAGTAGGACGCACCTCACGTCTCACACACACTCTCTCACAGAACCACAGGCTTTAGACCTGAAGAGGCCGTGTCATTCCTTCTCTCATTTTACACACATCAGCTGATGTGACTAGTCCGAGGTGGTGAGCAGCAGAGCTAGGTTTTAAACAGGCTCCCTGACCCCAAACTCGGAGCTCCCTTCATTGCCTTCCTGGGGCTGCCCCTTCAATACTGCAAGGCAGGAGAGATCATAAACCTTATTGCTACTGATGGAGAAGCACCCTGCACCCCAAAACGAAGGTAACAAATCAGGAGTCTTTGATTTTGCTACACTTTAGAGACAGAATGTTTTCTTTCATGGTGCACACTCCTTCAGGGCAGGGAAGAAGAGAGAGAGAAGGCGACGAGTCATCTCACTCAGCAAAGCTATGCCCAGCCTTATTCCACTTCCTCTGGCTGTTTTATCAGCTCATTGTGGTTTCACCCCAGCAACCTGCACTTCTGTTTAGCAGTGAAAGCACATTCTGCCCTGTTCCAAGCACATCCATCTCTCTATCTCAGCATCTTCAACAACTGTAAAGATGCCGTTACTGGCTCACAGTGAGACCAGGAGTGGGTGTACCCCAGCCAGCCAGGCGGGCTTGCAAGGCCACCTACAATCATTATTTTAGCTTGTTTTCTACAGGCAACACCTGGCAGGCTAAGAGGCGCTTTGCTCAAACAAGTCAGCTGGTTCTTTCCTATGTGATAACATACCCACTGGAAGAGAACACAGGGAGTCACTTAACAGGCTAACCAAAGTTTGAGAGAGAACATCTCTTTTTCACCCAATTTTGTTTTTCAAATTCACAATTTCCACTTAAATTTCGTTTTTCCCTTATGATCTCATTTCCCTTCTGAAATACCTAAAGCTACTGGCCAGAAGGGGATGGGTGGGGGGGATGACCATAGAGGATCACAAATAGTTTGAAGGTGAAAGGATTTTAGAGCTCAGTCCAGGCCAAATCCCTGATTTTACAGAAGAGGAAACTGAGGCTTAGAAGTGAAATCTTCTGCTGTTCGAGGACACACTATGCCTCCGTATGGTTTTTAGACCAGGCCTTCACTGAACAAGTGAAGCCGCTCCAGACTCTTTCGAGACTGGATCACAATGACTCTCTCTTGTTCAGAAGCATTCATCCCTCTGCCAGTATCCCATCACTCGGCCAACTTGTGTGACTTCCAGTCAAAGATGCAATTAAGGTCCCTCTGTCAGTGGAACGAAAGCAATAGAAAAACAACATTCTGGCAACTTCTTTTCTAGGCTCATGCGTGATCCCCTTGCCCCTCACCTATTTATACTCATTGAGGATTTATTGATAACTGCATCTGGCAGCTCCTTCAAACCCTCCCCCTAAGGGAAACTGGCTTAGGAAGAGCTAACTCTCAATCTCACCTTCCTGGCTCGTGGGTTTAAAATATTCTGGGAATGAAACGGTTTTGATTAACAGCCCAAAGATATGTTGCCATGGAGAGAATTCTGTTCACAACAGCTGTTACATTAACCCCTTCTACCCTGCTCATTCCACTGAGATGTACTCTTAGGTTGTATTATTTTAATGTGTGTTAATGTGCTGTTGCATCCCTGTTCTTAACTTGTTTATTCTGTGTGTTCCATAAAAATTCATGTCTGCAGCATTCCTTCTCTCCCTACCACTGAAGATTACTACTTTCACAAGGGCAGAAGTTATGCTTTCTTTTTAAAAAAAAAACAACAGACACAAGTCTTTATCAAGGCAAACAACTGAGTCTTTAGCCAGTCCAGCCAGCCACTCTAAGGACCATTCATTTAGTATCTCCTCTGTTTTAGTGGAGTCAGCAAGGGGAGAGAAAAAGCAATGTTTGAAAAGCCAAGAAAGGAAAAAAAAACAGCAGAGCAGGAGGTCAGGGGTGTGCATTAACACGATGCTCCCGAATGAGAAGGATTTTAAAGAAAAAAGCTTTAACCAGAGGCAGCATGGTGAACGGGGAAAAGCACTGTGACTATGAGCAAGGCACTTAACTTCCCATTTTTCTCATCTGTAAGACGGGAATAATGCCAGTGTACTCATCTCACAGGGTTGTTGATGTAAGGATAAGTAAAATAATCCAGCACAACACAAATATCAGCTGTTATATTACCCGCATCACACACAGACACCCATCCACAATTTGAGGTATGACGGAAAAAGCAGGGGATGCATAAAGCAGAGGACCTAGGCTCCAGCACTACCTGTATAGCCTTGGACAAGTCACTGACACTGTAGGCCTCCTCTGCACAGTCAGTTGGACAAAGTGATACCTAAGGTTCCTTCTAGCATCTCTATAACTGTTCGGACAAGTAATGAGACCTACGTATTTTATGTACTCTTGCATGATCTTTTCCAGAGGCTGCAGGCCCTCCTTTCTGAAGATGGATGGGTTCCACATGGCTGCACGTGCCACCATCACGGAAGATGCTGAAGTCTCTTGCCGGAAGGCTTCTAGGTCTGAATATACTTTGATGTGGTCATGAGATCCTCCACTGAAAGCCAACACAGGGAGTTATTGCTGTTTGCAATTATGAGACCAACCTCATCAAGCAGAGTGGTGATGGGAGACCAACCCCTGCCCGAGACACTGTGAACATCCCTAATGGGAACAAGACAAGAGGACAGTCCACAGAGCCAGAAGCTTTATGCCACCATGTCTCAGCAGGCTGCTAAGTGGAGAGGATGGCACCTTCTATTTCACCAGGCTGTAGCATTTGTAAGAGGCATGAATGCTCTGTGGTGATCACAGTAACCCAAGCAGTTTGCTAACTATACGCCCACACTCTGCAGCCTGAATGACAATCTCACCTCTGACATTTCTGTGATAGGGATGAAAGTCATAAAAAACCAGACCTGGACATCTGGATCCAGGGTCCCAGGTTTAAGCTGGCCCATAAGAGCAGAGTTGGCACCAATGAGTAGGGTTTCTGTTTTCTCAAAACCACTTCTAAGCTCTCTCTTAGATGCTGCCCCTTGGAGAGGTTGAGTCACCCTACCTGGATCTGAAACAAGCAGAAGTTGCTCACACCTCTGCTTTCACCCAAGCTGACTTGACAATCAGTTCCCAAAAATAGCTTCCAGGGTCCCACCTGCAGGCTCTGGGCAGGACACACCTTTGGTTTTTGCCCTGGCATCAGTATCTCTTTGCTGCGGGTATCCCTAACACACTGTACACCCTAGCCCTAAATCCTGTGCTATCCTCCAGTTCCTGTCTGCCTACCTGCCGACTTGGTGCTTTGACGTGACACTCAATACTACCTGCGTGTTCACTAACTCCAACTGCTTCCCTGGCTCCTGCCTCCCCATCTCCACCTTGGCCTTACATTACAGCTTTACTTTGTTTCAAGGTGTGACTTCAAAGGGTGTCCTTGGTGGAATGGGATGACATTGTGACAGAGATGATGGCCTAGGGTTTCCTTTGAGATTTAAACCCTTCCTATACGGAAGGAGAAGAAAACTCTAGACCACTAGTCTCACAACAAAAAAGGAGCTAGAAGGGGGGTTCACCTTCCGAGGCTGTCTCTCAAGACAAGAACAAAAAGATGATGTAGTGAAGGAGCCAAAGGAAGGGGCTAAAAGAGACGATTAGGCCTGCCTCTATTTACATTCCAACCCACAGCAGCAATGTTTTTAAACTCTCCCAAGCTTGCAATTTTTAGCTATGCTTCCCTCATAATATTAAAAACTATTTAAGTAGTTTAGTAGTAAATTTAAGTAGTTAAGAAGTAAAAACTCTTAAGAGACATCAAAAAAGTGTGTGTTTGCTTCAGAGACAGAGGGAAAAGCTGCATCCTGTTTAGTGGACTCTAGAGACAAGAAAGCCTTGGTTAGAAGAATAAGTGGAGGCAGCCAGAAAGGGGAGAACCTGGACCAGTTCCTGGGTTTGCAGAAAGCGGAACAAACCTGAGTTGGGAGCCACTCAAGAACTCAGAAGAGATCCCCGAGGATGTTCACTAGCAGGCAGACCCTAGGGGATTTCCCAAGCTCCTGGCCCTCTGCTCCCATGACCTCTATGTTGACAGAATGAGCAGAACCATTCCTACAAAACGCACTGTTCCCCAGCTAAATTTCCATGGGCTAGCATCCAGGTCCAATTTGGATCACTCTGAATTACTGATTAATAAGAAAAACTTACTTAGCTATTACCGGAATGGAGACAGCTTCAGCAATGGCTTTGATAATATCACAGTGGACAGGATGTTGAGGTCTCTCTTCCTTATTCCTTTATGACAAAAGAAGGGAGAGAAAACACTGAGGTGAACAAAATACACCCAAAGCTTTCTCTGGGTTGTCAGGTAACACGACCATGCTTTTCCTGGAGAGTCCCAGAAATAAGCTGGACTCTGATGAAACCAGAAGACACTCTTGGTTTAGTGGCAGTTGGGAGGGTGCATGCCTGTGCAACAGAAGGAAAAACCCCTGGCCCACTCATGCTGTCAGTCCTAGATCCCCAACACAACAATGACGTGGGCAGGAGTGAAGATGCATTGGTGGCGGGTGAGAGAACGATAAGATGGACATGACTAACATAACTCAGAGCCATACACCTGGACGAGTTCTGAGAAGACTGGAAGCCATAAAAACTAAAGTCCTGGAATTATTGTCTGTATAATGCCCAAGGAGACTGTGGGGTTGGAGGGGAGAGGGACCCTGGATTCCCCCACCCAGTCCCACTGACACTACGTCAGGATCACTCTGGATCCATCATTTTTTTCAGCCTTGGAGACTGAATCCAGATGGCACAATGCCCAAATACTGGGTCTCCTGGTTTGTGGGATACAAGGCCAATTACAGACTATTAGTCAGGACAATCATGTATTTCCCGAGTTGCTTTCAATTTACATTTCTTATAATTGTAATTCCCACTGCATGAAACCAGCCTTTGAGGATAAATGGGGTCCTAACTAAGCTGATAATGAACAATGATACACAATGTGAAAGATCCCTGATGCCGTTGGGAAGGACTGTCTTCTCAAATTTTCCTATAACAATTCATCTGTCTGTTTATCGGTGGTTTTCCTCATAACCCTTGATCCTGCACTAGTCTGATCTCTAAGTCATTTCCCCATAGCAGAACGAAAGAGTCAGGACTATGCCATTTTCCACCACTGTATCTCCACCAAATGTTTCCTGAACTGAGTAGAATGACTGGAGGCTCAGGATTAAAAATACCAGAAACATGGGGTGCAGAGAGAAGAAAAATCAAGACCTGTCTGGCTACCTAGTAAAGCCAAACAGGCTACCACAGAAAATAAAGTTATCTTTCAGAAATAGAAGGTAGGGAGGAAGGGAGGGAAGGAAAGAGAGAGGGAAAGAGGGAAGAAAGAAGGCAGGAAGGGAAGGAGGGAGAGAGGGAGGGAGGAAAGAAGGAAGGCAGGGAGAGAGGGAAGAAGGGAGAAAAGGGAGAGAGGAAGGGAAGAAAGAAAGGGGAAAGGGAGGGAGGGAGGGAGGGAGGAAGGAAGGAAGGAAGGAAGGAAGGAAGGAAGGAAGGAAGGAAGGAAGGAAGGAAGGAAGGAAGGAAGGAAGGAAGGAGGAAGGAAATATCCTATGGCAAGTGAAAAGTGACCTAGAAATTAGGAGGGATAAAAATCACTCAAGAGGTACCTTGCAAAGGCTTCAAAGTCAGTAAAGAAAATCTTCAAATATAGTGAGAGGAACAATGCCAACTAGAGAATCATTAGGACCATTTAATCAAGGTATGCATTCAAGGATGAAAATGAGTTAGTAGAGAGGGTAAACCAATTCTTTGCCTAGAAGATCCCCTGCTCCAAACAACCTTTTGATATAGACAAGTCTGAGCTGCTGAAACAAAGGGCAAAGAAAACAGGATGCTCTAGAGCTAACCAACAAATGAGATAGATAAATCACTGGGACAGGAGAGCACCCACATGAGAGTTCTGAAAGAATCTGAGAATCAGGCTATGAAAATGTTCTGCAAAATGTGTAGACTGATGCAAACAGCTACTGTGCTACTTGACAGTCAGTGTCAACCTCATCAATCACTAGCAGGCAGACTCTAGGTGTATTTGGGAATATACAGCTCCTAGGATTTCACGGATTCATTCAACAAACACTGATGCTACAGGTATTCCGTACAAAGCACTGTACACCACAATGGAATTCTAGATTTAGACAGAAAAGGTAGAAAAATTGGTATTTTATAGCAAGAATAGTCCCTCGATAAACCAAAACTTGGTCATTTTTGTTTCATTCTAATTATGACAAAACAAAGACAATGCAGCTTAACTGAAGTTACTGTACTCTACCTGCATAACGAATCATCACGTTTCCCCTCTTCCCCCAACTCCGCCTCGGGGATACAAGACTGTATGTCAATGGAACAGGTTCACATTATTACAAAGAAAGTGACTAAGATGGCTGGTTGCCTGCTTAATGCACAGTGGGCCTGCCCAGAGTATATGACTAGGAGGCTGGGAAACATGGCAGAGGGCAAAGACGGCTAGGTTTCAGAATTAGGAGACCCCGGTAGAAGTCCTAGCTCTCACACTGAAGAGCTGGATGACCTTGGACACCATTTAGAGTATTTAAAGCTTCAATCTGTCACTATGTGAAATAGGGACAGTAATACCTGCATTGTGGACTACTTGGCACTGTCAAGAGGAAAACGTTTTGTGAACTCCAAAGTGCTCTAGGGATACGAGCATTCTGCTCTGGTCAGGCCACAGGGAGGCCATTACTAAACTGTCCAGAGAGTGATGTGACTGGTATATGTGCCATCAAAAATGCTGGTAGAAGAAAGGAGGCCTAGGCGTTTAGTCTGGAGAAAAGAAGACTCAGAGAACAAAAGACAGTTATTTAACGCATTGAATGGGCTATCGCACCCTGTGAAGGAGGGATTCAATGGTTTCTGCTTAGCCCCAGACAGCAGAACCAGGAACAACGATGTACAATCTTAGTAAGAAAACCCTTCCTAACAATAGGACTGATACCCAAACGAGCTACTTCAGAAGACGGGGGTATCTCCCTTGTCAGCTGCCCCAAAGCAGAAGCACAAGGCCCCTTGTGGGGGGTGGGGGAAGGATGGTGTCAGAAGGGGATTCTAGTTCAGGTGGATGGACTGTCCTACATGGTCTTGGAGGTCCCTTTCCGCACTGCAATTCTGTGACAGTAATGAATGCAGAGAGGTATGGAAAGATCTTTATAAACTGATGCAATGAAGTAAGAAGATCCGAGAAAATAAGAGACATGGTGACAACAACCAATGGAAACGGAAAGGACCACACACCAAAAATCACGAGTAAATACAACAAAATCATCAAGATCAAGCAGGACTCCCATGGAGATGAGAAGATGCCCCCATTCCAGCCCCTCAGGGAGGTGAGACGTCCACAGGTGTTACACACTGCAGAGGTTTTCAAAGTTTTCCAATGTATCAATCAGTTGCGCTGACTTCTCTATCTTCTCTTAAAAAAAAAAACTATTTGTTATATGGGATGGTTCTCTGGGAGGGGCAAGGGGAGATGCCACAGTGATCTAAGAAAAAAATCAATAAAAACCTATAGGCCCTGGTCCTTAAGGGAATTTCCAATTCAAACAGCTAATAACCTCAGTCCAGGAAAGCCCAGAGGATGAAGGTGAAGAACACGTTATTCAGGGAGGGAAACACAATTCAAGACCAATGACCCCACATCACGAACTTCTGAGAAGAGGAAAAATATCAATACCAAGTATTCCTTCGCGGGTTCAGAACACTTCAGGCGTCAATACACGTGCTCATATATATCCCCTCTGAATCTTTATCTTCCAGTCATTAATGCCTTCTCCCTCCTCAAACCACTGTACCTGTTATATCCCCTAGTACAACGTAAGGGCTTTGAGGGCAGGGACTATTTTGTGTTTTATAAACTGATGCAATGAAGTAAGAAGATCCGAGAAAATAAGAGACATGGTGACAACAACCTTGACCATACTAGACGCTAAGAGATCATTACAGAATTGAACTGATGAGACCCTGATGGGTGGAGGAAGAAGTGCAGATTGTTTGTGGGGCTGGTACAGAGGACCACCACGGCTGGTGTCCCTTTTCCTGGGGGCTCGTCAATGGCACACACCATCTCAGCTGGGCACAAATTGCCTTCCACCAATAGCACTGGAAATAGTGGCTGCAGCCCCTACCAAAATCCATGTTTAACCATCAGAGACACTGGACTCAGCCTCTGGTGAAGGAAAAGCCCAGAGGAGGCAGAGACAGGTTTCTCTGAAGAAGTAAGTTACAATGTTTGAGTGTAAGCTTCAATGCTTCAAGGAATCACAATTTGTTGATGTGAGCGATGCAGAACCTTGTAAACCCCCTTTCCTTCTGTATAGATGGTCTTTGGGTGTTACGTGGTTGAGTACACTTATCAGCCCAGAGCTAATCTTTCTGCCCTTGACTTGGAGGGTCTTTGGATGATAGAGTCAATCAGACCCTAACTGAAATTTTGGTGCGAAGCAATGAGTTATGGGGGGGAAAGTGTTCAACTTACAGGCAGAAGAAGACCTGGGTTCAAATTTTGCCTTTGAAAGAAAAAAGCAAGCTGCATAAGCACATGTAACCAGGCTCAATTCGTCATTTATACAGTGAGGAGAAGACCCACAGTGGCGATCTTGCAGGGGTCCTGGGAGGTTCCAATGAGATAACCGAAGTGCTTCACAGGCTTCCCTGTGCTCAGTGAATGTCAGCTCTCGTTACAGCTTGCTGGAGCCAGCCAGGATGCGTGTCGTGCTGGCCTAGCACCGCAGAACCCGAGGTCACCTTCCTAACATCAGGAGATTCCAGCCAACAGGTCAGCTCCAGCCTTATTCTGCCCCTGGGCTGCTTACAATGCTGTTGGAGACTATGTTACCTCAGCTCTTGTACCTGTGAGATTGCCATCAATCGCCAATACCTTAGTGTGTTCTAGGAAACCTCTCCACAGACAAGCACTCCAAGTGAATACAAAATGCTTCTGGCCACTTGTCAAGACTCAGGCTCAATTACAGATACAACATGCTCAGACATTCTCTGATATTCCCAATCATTTGCTCAGTTCCCTATAAGTTAAATAAAACAGGTTTCTACTTACCATCCCTTTCAGCTGATTATGATCCTGGTTACTCACAGTTATTTATACTTACCAGTTAAAATGACAAGAAGAAGATAAAAGTTTCTCAGATGTTTTAAGACTACGTGTAAACGATTTACCCTGTGACACAAGGGTGACATTTTGGGTCGGTTACCGATCACGTTTCAGGAGGCACACAGCTTGGAAGATAGCCTGCCCCATTCTTATCAGGACTTGTCCTCTGGGCTTTGGAGACCTTTACTTGGGAAGCAAAGAGCAGGGCTGCATCATCCACCAGTGGCTGGACCAATGCACCAGACCTTAGAGCTGCTGGAGAGCAGGAGAGGGGCCCTTCCACCTTGCTCTAATGAGAATAAAATCTCTTAAGAAAGGCCACTGGTGTTTACGACCCTTTTGCACACCCCACTAATCTCATCCTCAGTCTACTAACCACCTCTGCCATCCAGAAGACTGCTGTGAACTCAGAAACCTGCACATTGGGGAGCCCACGTAGACGTATGCCCCAGGAAAGCGGTGACAACACCGTGGGGTCCTCAGGGCAGGGGGTATGGAACTAGAACAGTGAGTGAAAGTAGGGTCAAAGACTGAACAAGACTGGTTACTTGGTTTTCCTTGGAAAACAACAACCTTATCCTAGCTTTGGGAAGACAACTGACTGGTAACAACCCATGGGGCACTGGTTGGAAGGGACGCCTAAAGCAGACACTTGGACCATTGGTTAAATGACAGTGGCTAGTGACCACAGAGGGAAAAGACAAAAGAAAGGCCACTCGGGAACAACGAATTTGGGCTGACAGCCTCATCCACCTCAGCAGGTCCTAAAGGCATCACTGTGCTGCATCACCATTCAGTAACCAAAGCTCACAGCCCCACAGTGCACAAGCACAAGGACAATGACAATGCAGAGAACATTCTGTATGACGGTGTGACAAGTGAAGATCTTCCATAAAACTCATCTTCAGAGTAATGCCAGCCCCTAGTTTCCTTCTCTTATTAGGGAATTTTATTAAATTTGGACCACCTTAAAATGTTGGGACCCTAAGGGGACCACTCATAGGAGGAGCTTTTAGGGTCTTATGAACTTGACTGCTCACGTGACTGCAGACAGGGTCTGTGCAGGAAATCACCTACCTGAGAAGGTCAAATAAAAATGATGAAGCAGAATTGCCCATAATGGTAAAGAGGTGATCATGAGACTGCAATCCCAGAAAAACGTCAAGAGAATGCTAAGCTCCTTTCCATGGGGTGACTGCCCCTTTTTCTTCCTAACAGAGCCGGCTATAAGAGCCGAGCACTTAAGGCTAGAGCTTTGTGCTGAGGGACAGGTAAACTCATCTGGCTGACAATGGAGAAGAATCAATTCCTTTCCCATAACGAGCAGTGTAGTACAAAGACCATGGGAGTTAGTCAGCCCTGGGTTCCTAGCTCCGCCCCTCTGGGGAAGTTTCTTCTCCTCTCTGGGTCTCGGGGCTGTGAGAGGGCTGGGTGAAATGATCTCTAAATCTGTGATCCAGTAAGCCACTGGAAGAAATTCTCTTAAAAATCCTGCTTTCCCATCAAATGTACTTACCTCCCATGGACCGCAATGGCTGCTACCCCAGTCCTCTCTATCCGCTTCACAAGATTCAATGTGTCCTCAAGCTGAGGAAAATGACCAAGGAGGGACATGTCACTCAATTTTTATGGGAATTGGATTATTGTCATCTAACTCACAAAGGGATCTCAGCCCTTCTCTATCTGCCTTCCCCAACCCCAATCCAAATCAACAAACATTTATTGAGCACCTACTATGTACCAGGCACTGTGCTACAAAAAAGAGGCAAAAGACAGTCCCTGCCCTCAAGGAGCTTCCCATCAAATCATCTCATTCTGCTGCTCCCCCCCCCCCATTTCATTAGAGATTGACAAGCTCTTTTGAATGAAATGAATTGTGTTTACCGATGGCAGGATCCGAATCTTGCAGGTCACTGGTTTGCAAATCCCTTTAACAAGGGTACTCAGAATCTACAGACAGGGGGAGAAATGGAAGCATTTGGGACAGTAACTTTATTACATGGTAATGCCTTAATTAAAAACAGTAAGTTGTTATATAAATTGCTTAAGATGTGATAACAAGACCTATATATCCCCATACCATAGACATGGCATGTGCGGGTGCATGCATGTGATAGTGGTCAGACGGTCTGGGTTAAAATGGTAGCTCTGGTTATTTGCTCCCAAGGTGACCTGTTGGACCTCAGCCCCTTCCACTGTGAAATGAAGGAAAAGGTTGCACCGTATGGCCCTGAAACACCCTTCCCACTCTAAGTCTATGACACAGGAAGTGGTAAAATGGCAACAAAGCTTGAAACCTATCCAACGAATGGGCCTGCCGATAATGCTCCCTCTCACTCATCGGGTATGAGCAGAGGCACCATAATGTTTTGCAACCTTCAGGAAGAGCTTCATGTGGTAACTGAACCACCTTTTCAGGAATTTTTGTAAGAGCCCCAGACGAAGGCCCCGAGGAGTTTTAGAGAACACGCCTTGCTACCTCTCAGCTTCTCCATCAGGCCCTTTGGACTATGGGCACAGAACAGGGAGGGGCTCGTCACATTTCTATAATGTCTTCAAGTTTCAAGAGCACTGTCTTCACAACTACCCATGAAGTAAGCAGTGTGAGACCTACTGGCCCCATTTTACAGATGCATGAGCTGTGGCTCAGAAGTGAATTGACTTTTCCAGGGTCACAAAGCTAATTCTGAGCTGGCATTTGGACCAGAAGAGTAGTTCTCTTCTGACTTCAGGTCTAGCCTTTTTTCTATAAAATTACATCATGCTACCACTTGAAGTAAGAGTATAAATTCTCTCTTTCTCTCCTCCAACAAAACTGTGGGTCTTAATTACTTCTCAGCCAAGAATGAGTCATGTTAATTCCTTAGAAGGTCTGTTTTCCCAGTTGAGTTTTTGTCTTTATTTTGTAATTCTGCTTCATGGTGGACCTAGAGAGACCGAGACAATACACTTACTATTGAAGAGGAGGGTTCAACTAGTCCTGATGATGTCACTGCAGGCAGTGCCCTTTATCCCGAAATGGAACTATTACATCAGAGCCTTTCATAGAGAGAGGAAGAAGGTTTTCATCTGCGGTCGGCCCTTCAAATTTCCCATTCTACTGCTATAGCTTACTGGAATAAGCTCTGACTGGCCATCTTCAGGAACCACTAAGTTCCCTCGCTGGCCTGCTTGCAGCGCTGGCTGTCGACCCAAGAGGCTGACATTCTATTGCATCTCCATCTGATATCTCCATCATCTCCTCAGTTCAGGCTGCAGCCCACCCAGGTCTAGGGCCTCAAGGACCCCAAGCCAAAGCACAGGAGGCACTCCCTCGTTCGTGAATCACAGTTCAGCATGCGGACTGTCCACCTGTCACCCCTCTGCTCTGGTCTGTCTCATCTCTTCTGCTTATACACATCTCTGATGTCTCATGTACTATTCTTATGCTCAAGTCAGTGTTGGTAATGTGCTGTGTCCAATTCATACCTAATGTTGTCATCATCATCATCATCATTAGCATTTATGTAACACTTGAAGGTTTTCAAAGCTCTTTACAAGTATCATCTCATCTGATCTTGACAACTACCCTGTGAGGTAGGTGCTATTATTATCCTCATCTTACAAATGAGGAAACTGAGGCTGAGAAAGTTTAAGTAACTTGCCCAGGGTTACACCGCTAGTGCCTGAGGTCAAATTTGAACTCAGATCTTCCTGTGCTCTAACCACTGTGCCACCTAACCATCCCATCATCGACCTTTCCGTTGTTCACTGGGTCACTTACCGTTTTAATTCTTTTGCTTCTAGGTAGCTAGGTGATGCAGTGAGTACAGCACTGGGGCTTGGGGTTGGAAGATCACAGTTCAAATCAGACCTCAGACACTGACTAGCTGTGTGACCCAGTTTCCTCATCTGTAAAATGGGAAAAATAATGGCACCTACCTCACAGACTTGTGAGGATAAAATGAGATGTCTGAAAGGCATTGTGCAAACCTTAAAGTGCCAAATAAATGCTAACTGTAGTTATTAATACCTCACTTGTGGCTTACAGTCTCCCAGAGCTACCTACAGCATTAAGAGGTTGCGCGATACATCCTGGTCACTGAGGCAGGGCTGGGAGACGGGTCTATCCACTGCACTGCAGTGCCTCTCCATGAGATGTTATCATTAGTGTCTACTAGCAGTGTGAAAGCTCTGAACTCCCTAAGAATAGTAACAAACGTCCAGCCTAGCAGTGAACTTCAGCAGAAAACCTCAGAAATTCACCTAACTTGACCAGTGCACACAGGGAAAAAGGAGAGTGGGGAAGAGTCAGGACTTTGCTTGGTATCTTGTCCAAGTTGGGAACAAAAGGTAGGTTATGAATTTGCTTTTACATAATTTCTGGAATCTGAATGTGGTTAATGGAAATATGTTACAGTCTAGCCTAGGGAAGTGTGAATTATTTACTCACCTTCTCGATTTTGTCAGGGTCAGACAAAAGTGCTGCTCCCATTCCTCCCTTAAGAAAAAGCACATTGAGAAAAGACTCATTATAACTAATATACCTATTAGCTCTCAGTATTATCCTTTGCCCTTGCAAAGGACCTACCTCTGAGGCACTCAAGCTGTCATCAGGGGTGGCACTACTCTTCATTAATAACTTCTCCACATATGGAAGAAAACCCACAGCCATCTTAGGGATAAAGACAGGCGGGCTTGGGAGACAGTGTGCATCAATCCCACAGTAAGTAAGGAACAGTATTAAAAACCAAAGCAAATGGAAGGCCTGGATAGATTTCAACTTGTCAGCTGTATCCAGCTGTTTCACCCTTACTTACCTCAAAAATCCTAAATCTAAGGTTTTATGAGCGCTCTCCCTCTCTTCCTCAACCTATGACATCAAATCCAATTCAAATTTTAACTAATGGAGGCCATTAGCCCCATAAAGCATCTAAAACAGTGTGAAAACCAACGACTCACACAGCATGCTGCCATATAACAGCAGTATGAGGGGTTGAGGGGACAGAATTTGAGCAGTAATTATTTTAACAGGTGTGCCAAGTATTAATGAATGCCTGTGGGACACATTCAAGAGGTTTATTTTAAATAATGACTGTTTAATTTTATGTTTGAGGAAGACAGGTTAAATATCAGAGGGATAGTTAAACTTGTATAGACTCACTCAAGCTCAGCTTGCCATACTGGATGCATCTGCAGCTGAGACTTGAGACTCTGACTGGGTGACAGGTGTCAAGTTTGAGGAGCTGGAAGATGCTCCCTTACTCTTTACCTAACACTGATAGCTAATACTGACAGAAAGAGCACTTTCAAGCTTTACGTACATTATCTCAATGGAGCGTCACAGCAAGCAGAAGATACTGAGGCTTAGTGACTGTCCGAGGCAGGCTGTCCAGATCCAAGGCCAAGGTCCCTTCCATGGCGCTGCTACGCCAGGGGTCGAAGGACCACATGCAGCCTGCCTCTTGTTTCAGTACAGCTTGTGAGCTGGATATAGAAAAAATAATTTGTTGCATTTTAAAATGCAGAAAGTGTTCTTGGTTTCCGGGCTGTACAAAAACAGGGGACAGGCTGGATTTGGCCATCAGGTTGTATGAAGTTTGTCGACCTTTGCACTACGCAACTACTAGGAAGTTCCTAGAAGACAAATCAGACGGAGCCCAAGCGCTCAAGTTTACACTGGTCAGGTAAGACCAATCAGGTCCTAGCAGCGACGATCAAGATGTAAAGAGTGGCACAGAAGGCCCTCTATTTTTCATACATCCTTTGCCTCATGTCCCTTTGGACCAAATCAAAGATACTTAAAGGTCTGTACAGTCCAGAAGGCAACAAAGCAAACCTTCCTACCCCTAGGGAGCTAGGGCTACAGAACAACATGTTTTACTGAACCCAGACACTTCAGTCAGTCAGGCTGTCACATCTGGACTATCTTTTCAAAGACAAAAACAGATCAGATGATGACTGAACCCATGAATTTCAATAAAGCAAATGTAAGGATTTTATTTAATGTATAAAAATTACACATATATGTTTCACTCTTCATATCTAAAACAAAAGGAAACAGTTTACCTTAGTGGAGTATTCTTTTGGACAACCCATGTTAATGTCAACACCAGCTACATCATTCTCTCTGGGAAAAAAAAAAGGAACAAAAGGAATAAATATTTAACTCAAAGAAGGAAGAAATCGTAAGTAAGAAAAGGCAAGGGGAGCAGGTAAGCTAATCATATAATAATGATTAGAGGCAACAGAGGGCCAGTCTGAGAGCTATACTGGTACCCCCCAAAAAATAAAAGAACCCTAAGGAGGCATCCAGCATGCTAGGGGAATCCTCTGTGGAGGACTTCTGCAAGGATAGATAGGAAGATGTGGAGGGCTGTGACCTGTGCTGGTGGGAGGAGTGCACAAGTTCCATCGAGCTCACACGCCCCTCCAAGCACAGGTGTGCCCAGAGATCTTTTGCTCCACCATGCACACATGACTCGAAGATGATCCTCTGAGCCCAACACATCACTCGAGGATGCACACAACAACTTCACTTGGTGGTAAGGGAGCTGAGGAAGCCTTTGGAACTTTACTGACCATAGAACCATGGTGTTTGATCACAGCTCTCAAAGACACAGCTAGAGAAGGAAGCCCTGACTATCCCGCCACACAGCTAAGATGCAGCACTCCCTACTCAGGTGGGACCTCTCCAAAGCCAACACATGCCCCAGGACCTCAAGTGCACAATCACAGGAGCTCACCAAACTCAGCCCGTGAGAGGTTCTGTTCTGCACAGGTCACTGAAGGCTATTTTGGCCTGGAGCTGCTGCTTGTCGGAACACAACACATGCACACACGCCACTACCTTAACAACAGGCACATGCACTTTCTGCTGTCCTCAGTGGAAGTGGGGATTAGCTACCTCCTTTTCTGCGTGTGATGATGTCAACATTTCAAAGACCCATGATTCCTCTGGCGCAGGCAACCCCTTCCCCCCCCCCCACCAAGGCAAATCACAACTTCTTTAGGAACTGAATGCGTGCCCCTAATGGTGAGGAGCCCCTCAAAACCAAATGCAGCTGCTTGGCCTGAGGATCAGGCACACAAACCCTGCCTTCTGGGAGCCCAAAGGCAAAGCCTTTCAGGCTGCAGGGGCTTACACTCTTCTGACAGCCTCAGCGTTACCTCCACCCTGCAGTGAAGCCTGGAGAAGGCCTGTCCTAGAGCACGTGTAATAACACCAACAGCTCAAAATCACAGAGAGCTTTCCCCACAACAGCCCTGTGAGCTAGGTGGTGCCAAGGATGATTAACTGCATTATGTAGAGAGGGAAACTGAGGCTCCGAGAAGGTAAATGACTTGTCTGTGGTCACACAGCTACTAAGTGTTGGAGCTAGGGGTCTTTCCATGACACAAAGGGAGAAGAAAGCAGGCTGTCCCATTCAGCGTCATGGATATAAACAGCAGATGCTCCGCGTCTTCAGAAAGAGGAGCTGTTTGAGTAAGTCTGACCTGACTTAGGAAGGGATCCACAAGGCTCACATTTGTTTACAAGCAGCCCCAGTGGATGTTGCTATGCTTGTGGCTCTAAGACTCCCTCATTGGTATCTCAGAAAAGCTATGTTTGAAAAGTCGGCCCCACGCAGCTCATAAGTCAGCTTGTCCTCTTCTGGCCTTTGTAGGTACACCTCAGTCACAGGGACTTCCACGTGCCTTGACTTGGCCTTTAAAGTTCATTAGAGGGACCGAGGCAGCCCCCATCAGAAAGTAGATGGCCCACTGTGGCTCAGTGCTGCTGGAGTGAAGTTTGAGATGCTGATCAAGCGCCACCGTCACCAATGCAGGTCACGGCAGAACCACAGCCAGGGCCTCCAGGGGCAGATGAAAAGCTTCCGATGAGCTTCGGGCACAACTTACACAAGCTTGGCCACAGCAAGGGCTCGCTCAGCATCTGCAGATCCCTGGGGACACAGAACAAGACATTCAACAACAAGCCTGGCCAGCATCTAGACACAAGAGGCATAGAGAGAGAGGAATCTAGCTACTGTTCTCTCTTTAAAGGACATTATCATCAGACTCATTAACTGTTGTATAAAGAGCGATGTTTAAGGAATGGGAACATTTGAAAACCAGGGGATTAAGCTGATGCTGATGCTTTTTAAGGCTAGAAGGGCATTTAGGATCTACTTCTGAAAAGACACCAAGAAATGTTCAAATCAGAGAACAAAGGGGAGGATTATAAACTCACAGCTGGAGGGGGCCTTAAAGATCATCTAGCCCCGGCCACCACCCAACATTCCCTTTCATGCATTAGGAAGCTACGCCCCAGAAAGATTCAGTAATATGACCGAGGTCATGTAGGGAAGAAGTGGACAAACTGCAGTGACCCCCGGTCTTCTGAGTCCGGGGGACGTTTCTTGGACCACACTGCCTCCCAGAGATAGAGACATGAGAAGAAATTCTCTCCCCCAAAACCCATCTTTCAAAAGTCAAGGGAAAAATCTGAGTATTAGTTTCTGGAAAAAACTAATTCTGGCCCCAAGAAACAGTTATAGAAGATAATGATATGAAGACCAGTAATGAGGAGTACTAGGGAATAAAAATAAATAATTCAAGCTAAACAGCTGGATTATTCCCTTTAAGTTTATAAAAATTAAATTCTCAAACAGAAAAACATACCAGACTACTTCTTGGCTCAAATAAAATGTACTATAATACATGTTTATAATTCTTAGAAAAAACTCAGCTCTTAGGGGCTAGAATGGGGTCACATATAATTGATGACGATGATGACGATAACAACAGATAGCATTTATACAGCATTTTATAGTCGGCAACGTGCTTTACATATGGGCATTGTACTGACTGAGGAAGCAAACTTTAGAAATAACAGAGATCACGTGATGTTCAGAATGTGAGTCAGCAAGAGCAGCGCAAGCAATACAGAAGGGAGGGAAGCCAACCAGCTGGGCGGAGTCGAGTGAGGCAGGGCCTTGAGACTCTCACCATCTGAAAGACGACCTTGTTCTGCTCCCTGTCACAGGTACGGAAAACGACTCTCTCGTTGGGGGCTACAAAGTCAATGGTATCCAGCACCTCTGTGTGGAAAGAAGAAGAATAATCAGCACAACAGCCAGAACACAGTAGGCTCTTAAAAACGTTTACTTATTGACACTATCTTCCCATTGGCCTACTCTGATCCAATGAAGCAGAAGGATCCTTGTGACAGGAAGAGAGCAGTTGCTTAAGCCAGTGATCTTGCAGCTGGTTTCTCACCTGTCTAAGGAGGAAGGGGGACTAGATGACCTTTAAGGTCTCTTCCATATCTAAAATTCAATGCTATTATGGAAAAACATATTTTATATGGATCTATAACTGCCTCTCAGATTTTATACAGACAGGTAGAAGGCACAACTTTCAATTTCAGAAACATCTCAATGACCCAGCACCATGTGTAATTAGATTGTCTACAGAAGAGAATTTTCCAGATAACCTTACTCAATGTCCATGCTGTGACCTCCAATCCCTATACCCCTCAATTCTCTCCCAGGACATTTCCCTTACACTAGCCACTCTCTCCTTTTCTCTCCATCTTGACCCCTTGGTGAACTGATTCAATTCTACTCTCTACAACTGAATGCCTAGCCATTGGGTCACACCTGCCATTTGCCACCTTCACTCCTACCCATGTACTGGCCTTTAACGCTCTTGATCATCTCTCCTCTTTGATATTGGTTTTCAGGACATTACTCTCTCCTGGTTATCCTCCTTCCCATCTGTCCATTCCTTCTCTGTCTCCTTTGTTACATCCTCTCCCAGGTCATGCCCTCCACAGAGGTATCCTACAGGGTTCTGTCCTGAGTGCTTTTCTCTTCTCCCTCTGTACTGCTTCATCTGGTGATCTCATCAGCTCTCACGGATTTAATTACTATGACGGTGATTCTCAAATCTACCAGTGATCTAGTGATGCTGGGCTCTGGGCTGTTCCATGAACAAAACACTCCATCTCTCAGCTCCAGGCATTTTCTCTGGCTGTCCCCTAGGCCTAGAACACTCTTCCTCCTCTGCTCTGACTACTGACCTTCCCGGCTTCCTTTAAACCCCAGCCAAAAGCTTACCTTCTACAAGAAGCCTTTCTCAACTCCTCATAATTCTAGTGACTTCCCTCTGCTAAATATTTCTTATTTATTGTATTAAGTTTGTTTGTATATATTTGTTTGTTGTCTCCCCCATTAGATTGTGAACTTCTTGAGGGGAGGAATCGTCTTTTGCCTCTTTTTGTAATCCCCACTGCCTAGCACAGTGTCTGGCATATAGTAGGAGCTTAATAAATGTTTATTGATTGATTGATAATGGAACCTTACCTGAACAGCAATAATTAATGATTAGCAATAGTAGTGTTAACATCATAATAGTTCTATTAGAGGTAACATGACAGAAGAGATCTGTGGCACTTACTAGTAATGCTTCTCTGGGGAGGTAGAGACAATGTGAGAGTGTGTGTGAGTGAGAGAGAGTGTGTGCTACTTACTGCTTGTAAGATGTTGGGTAAGGCTAGCACTTAGAATAGTGCCTGGCACATAGGAGGATTCGATTCAATTCTCGGAGACTCAGCTTCCTCCTCTGTAAAATGAAGGGGTTGGAAAAGGTGCCCATCAGCTGTAAATCTGCCTCAGGCACAACCCTAGGGCTTACACACTAAGCCCAGGCAATGATGAGCATAAGTGGAAGGAATGACTACAAGCAATGACTGCCGGAATCCCCTCATCCGGGGCAGCCAAGATGGTGGAGTGAAAAGGTAGTCGCTCTCACTCTCCCCTGTCGACCTCGGAATCCCCTGATTCTACTCCTCCTGTTAATCACTACCACTACTGTTAACCTTTTCTGATGATCCAGGGTCATCCCGAGGAAGATCAATCATTGTACGTGCCCCCAAGGACATCTTAGGATGATTCCTTAGAAGAATAAAAAACTGACCCCTTTAAGTCCAAGTCACTGTCCAAGAAAATCACATGTACTTAAACCACTGGCCTAAAGGATTTATTTCCATTAGCTTTTTTCTTGTACTGTTGATTTTGGCATTCTTCCATAATTAGAGGTAAGAAATCTGGACAGGTAAAAAAAAATTAACGTCTCTGGAAAACTTTTCTTCTTTTGTCTAAAAGTTGGTTTCCTTCTCTGTTCCTATAATATGTTAAAATTCTAAGAACTTCAGTCCCTTCAACTCCATGGACAGTTTAAATGCCATTAGTTGTGGTTTCCCCCCATTTGTCACTCCTTCAGACTCTAGTTCTGTGGCATAAATTGCTTATTAATTGAACTGAATCCACCTGGCACAGGCTCTCCCTCCTACCAGAGGTGCTCTTCCACCTTACTCCTTACTCTCTGGATCTCCCCAAGGCTCAGCTCAGGTTTTACCTCCTTTGAGAGGCCTTTCTTCCCTAAGTAGTTAGTACTGCCCCACTCGTCCTATTTCTTTGTATTTATTCTGCATATATCCTGTATTGATTCATTGATTGTCATGGGTTGTTTCTCTCAGGGAAGTTCCAAGGTCAAAATCAAAACCCTCTGCTTGGGATTCAAAGCCCTTCACTCCCTGGCCCCCTGCTACCTTTCCAATCTTCTTATACTTCACTCCCCAAGACACACACTTCAACTCAGTGACACCGGCCCCCTGGCTATCTCCCAAGCAAGACCCTCCATCTCTTGGCTCCAGGCACTTTCTCTGGCTGTCTCCCAGGCCTGAAAAGCGCTCTTTCCTATTTATTTCTGGTTCATATATGTAACTTGTTTGTTGTACATATTTGTATTAGATTGGGAGCTCCTTGAGGGCAGGAACTGTCTTTTGCCTTTTTTTGTATCCCCAGAACTTAGCACAGTGCCTGACACATAGTAGACACTTAATAAATATTGACTGATTGATTGAAACTCTTTAAGATCAACTTTTGTAACTGTATTCCTCTGCCCAGTGAAGGTGCTCATAGTCACTGATTCATACCTGGAATTCACTCCCTTCTCACCTCTGCCTCTTAGAATACCCAGCTTCCCTCAGGGCTTAGCTCAGGTAATACTAGGACCTATACTAGGCCTTTCCTAATTCCCCTAGTTGTGGCCTCCCCTCTCCCTAATTCCCCATAGCTCTTCATGATCTGGTATGACCTTGGCTTTCTGAGCTGGATTTCACACCATCCCACCCCATGGAGTCTACCCTGCAGGGCTTTAACAAGCTTTATTTACACTGTTCTCTGTGTGTGAGTGTCCTCCTTTCCTCTATGCCTGATGAATTCTTGCCCATTCTTTACAGCCTAACTCCTATCAGTGAGTAAATATCACAGATACAGCCAGTTCTGGCAAAGTCAATCACAAACAAGAACAATCAGAAATGGAGCTCTAGCTCCTGAGAACAGAAGAGTGTGTGTGTGTGTGTGTGTGTGTGTGTATGTGTGCGCGCGTGCGCGCTCTTATAGAAATTTAAAATGTAAAAACAAAATGAAAAGCCTGTATGTCTCACAGTCGTAAACACAAAGGCAGCCTGCTGGCCATTCCCACAAAGAAGCAGGCTTTTATCAAGCAAGAAACATTTATACAGCACCTACTATGTACCAGGCACTGTGCTAAGCGTTTACAATTATCTCAATTGATCCTCACAACAAACCTGGGAGGCAGGTGCTATTATTATCCCTCTCTGACAAATGAGAAACCAAAGGCCAAAAGGTGAAGTGACTTGCCCAGGTTCACATAGCTGGTAAGTGCCTGAGGCTAGATTTGAGCTCAGGCCTTCCTGACTCTAGGCCCTGAACCACCAGCTCCTTAAGATCATTCCCAAACGACATGAAAGAATGAAAGTCTATTTAAACCGGCCAGCACTAATTGCATATGAAATAGAAAACACCCCAAAGAGCCAGAGAGGAGCCCTGTGCTTACCATTGACAACTCTCTTGCACTGAAGCATCTTAATGTCAATCAGCTCCTGTCAAGAAATGAAAGCATATTACATTAGTTCTTGGGCAGGCGGAGCTCTCTGACTCAATGGGACCTTCCCAGTATTCTCAGAGCAGTGCCTCTGCCTATGACAATACAGGGTACTCACAGAGTTGACAGCCTCAAGGCCCTGAATGCTCTCCTAAATACTCGGCAGCCATTGGAGCCCAAATGATGTCATGTGCTCAGTCCTGGATGCCGCATTTTAGAAATGACATTCACAGAAGGGCGACCACACCCTCTGCGGGTCGTCTGAGGGAACTGTAGACGTTCATCCTAGAGAACCCTAACCCTAATCGGGAAGGATGTCATGGGGAAGAGGGATGACTTGGCTTTGCCCCAGAGGGAGCAATGAGGACTAACTACAAAATGGAAACTACGAAGAAAAGGAATTTTTGCTCAATAAGGAAGAATTTAATAATCCGAGTCCTCTGGAAATGGTACGGACTGTTTGAGGGGAGGAAAGGGCAGCGAATTCCTTCTCAAGCTTGAAGGTCGTCCCTCTTCGGGGATGCGGCTGCAAAGATTCATGCTTCTCAGAGGATAGATTAGGTGACCTCTGAGGCCTCTTCCTACTCTAAGGTTCCAAGAAACATAGAAATGGGACGGCCTAATTCAGCAACCCTCAGTTTAGGGAGAAATCTGGGTGGCCCAAATCCGGGGTTCCTGGGTATGGGTAGTGAGTTGAGCGTTTCTGATCCAGCCAACGAGGACCCCATGGCATCTTTCCTCTCAAGCTACAGCTGATGTCTGTTCATCACCATGCTTTGTTCTGGAACATGCCATCTTAGCTGCTGCCTGCCTTGCTGTACATGCTTTAGTGAATATCTCAGTTTTTTCTTCCCCTACTTTTGAGCACAAACAATGTACTATAAAATTAAAAAGAATGCCATATGTTCACAAAGGAGTCCCGAGCAAGTCTGAATAACCCCTTCTCTCTTTCTCCTAGTCATCTAAACCTCAGTCCTGGAAAACACTGTGTGTCCACTACTCACCAGATAAAAGATGGGGTAATAAGTCACAAAAATCCCAAATTAAGAGCAAAGTCTAGGCAGCAAAATTAGCTGCATTCATCCATGCATGAATCCTGTCACTTCCCTGCTCCAAAACATTCTAAGGCTCCCTACTATTGAGGGGATAAAATACAAACTCCTTAGCCTGGTAATTAAAGGCCTCCAAAATCTGGCTCCAATCTACCTCTCCAGCCTCACTTCACATCACCTCTGTTACATGCCCTGTGTGTTTCTGTTCATACTGTATCTCAAACTCTTACCTCATTTAAGCAGGCCGTTTCTTCACATTTGGTATGCAATTCCCACCCCCTACCTCCCCCCCACCCCCCACATACATCCCTCCACCCCTTAAAGTCCTCCTATCCTGTGAAGCTCAGAACTCAGTTGGTATCTCCTTCATGAAGCTTTCCTTAATCATTTCAGCTGATTAATCACTCAACCTTTTCTACAGCATTTTGTCTGGAATCCTTTAGCCTCATCACACTGAACTCTCTGTAGACATGGTATATCCTCCCAACACACTGTAAAGCCCCTTAGATTCAGAACCTAGGCACATTTCCCCTTTGTACTTCTATCACTGGCCAGAGTGTTTGGTATGCAGGAGATGCCTGTGTTGAACTGAATTACTGGCTCATATCCAACAATCAACCCAACATTTTTGACAATCTGAAGTGTCTTTCTTTTAAAATAATTTTTATTGATGTTTTCTGTTTCCTGTATCACCACAGTGAAACGTCTCTTTTTTTTTTTTAATCAGTGGAACCAGGTAGTAGGAGACCATTAAGCAAATAACCTAGTGTTGGGACCACCACCTCCTTTCTGCTCCTGTGCCCAACAAAGCAAGGCTTGGAGATGGAAGCCAATTCCCATCCACATTAGTGAAAAGGAATGTGAGAAATGAATCCAAGGATAGTCCTGGAGAATTCTTGCAGGCAATTCTGGGTAACAGCATGCATTAAGGCCAGTGGTGACCCTGTGCTGCTCCATCTGTTCTATTTGACCGTATATTTATAAGGCAGAGACAGCATTAGGTAAAGGGGGGGGCAGGGAGGAGAAGGACATTGGCCTTGGAGTCAGGCAACCCAGGGAAGAATGCTGGCTCAGCCACTGACTGATTAGCCATGGGACTCTGGCCAGCTTCTCTGAGCTGTAGTTTCCTCACCTATAAAATGAGGAAGAGGAGGATGAAGGTAGGAAGATAAAAGATATAATTCATACAACACACTTTCTAAGCCAAATGATCTCACTGACCCTCACAACAGCCCTGTGGGGCCAATATTATTATCCCTATATTAGAGAGGAGGAAACAGAGACATGAAGAGTACCTTTAATAAGCTCCAAGGTAACATCTGATCTGATCAAGAAGAAGCTATAGAAAGAGCCCTGGCACTGGAGTCCGAGATCACAGGTTCAAATCCTGGCTCCACCACCTGACCCAGCAAAATTACTTCCCTTTCCTAGGCTTTCTTCTTCTGCCGATTTAGAGAGATGACCCCTAAGTTCCCTTCCAGCTTGAAACCCTACCATCTTTGACGGGTTACACCAAGTCTGATGAAGGCAGGCGTTCCATGCAGGCTGCTTCCACTAGAGGGCGGCACATTCCCTTAATAGCCACAGAGGGGAAAGACCAGGTCACTTAATGCAAATACAAAATGCAGCCAGGTCAGTTAGCATCTTTCTTCTCTGAATGGAATAACCATACTTTGTACTTTAGGGAGGATGAGTTACAGTCCAGGGTATCCCCTGATGGCTGCCCAATGTGCTATGTTTCTAAACCACATAACCTTTCCAGATTAGAAGTATATGTTTTTAAATGTCAAAGGTTTTAAATCATGTCCAAACTCAAGCTAAGCCTGAGGAAGGTGGGTAACCTGGGATAATAAAAATAAATAGTCCACAGTCAATAAAATAAATGATAAAAATGAATACCAGCAGCTTTATAATTAAATAGTGCTTTCACAAATATTTCCCCCTTTGATCCAAATACAACCTTTTGAAGTGGTGAGGGCAAGTATCCTCCACTTAACAGATAAGAACATGTAGATTCTGGGAGACTAATCGATTTGCCCAGAGTCATTTAGCATCTTGCATATAGCAAGCTTATAATAAAGAGCAGCAAATATTGAGCACCTCCAGCCTACAGAGCACTATGGTGGGCACTAGAAACATACAGATAACTAAAATATACAAAGAAATAGGCCTGAGGGTGCAGGTTGTTATCAAGGAGAAAATGGCAGAAGGGTTTCTGGGGGAGTCAGCAATTCAAAAATGGATAGAAATTTTGCAGGTGGAAGGAAGAACATCTTGAATAAATAAGAATGACATCCACTTCGGAGGCTGGGGATGTCTAGCTTGCTTGGCACAGAGAGAGTGAAGGAAAACAAGGAGATTAAGTTTCGAAAGGCAGACTGGCAAGGGGGGAAGGGGGACGACAGGGGGCCTTAAATGCCAGGCAGAGGAATGACATAGCTAATACTATGGGAAGAAAGATTATTCTGGATGGACCAGAAGGGCAAGAGAGTGGAAATGTGAATACCTAAAGAGAAAGTACAGCTCCAGTTTAAGAAATGTTGAACTGAAGTGACAGAGACTGGTCTTGAACTGCGTTGGTTCTTCCAGCTTCAAATTGAGTGTTCATTCACTTCATTCTATTCGACTGTCTTAATGGTCAAACTAGGACAAATCAGGCTCTGCCAACTGAAGAGAAAGCAGATTCTGGGATTGTTCCAAAAATCCAAGGCTCATAACTTCAATTTTTATTTTATTTTGAGCAGCTCATGCAGCTGGAGTAAGTTTCACAACTGCACTGACATGGCACATCACAAATTTACATCATTCAATTTCAGTTGGGCCCTCACTACGAGAAGGCAATCATTTTATTTCTCACTCCCCAAAAGAAGGTATTCCAAACCTTCTCTTCCCTCTTCAATCCTCCCATACCTACCCTCCCCTGAACCCCTGGATGGAGACATTGCCTCAAGTCCCTTCCTTTGCTGGCTCATCATCCATGTCACGCCCCTTAACTGTGTGTGCACAGCCCTCTATGTGCCTTTCTTTGGTAAGTTTATCCCTTACCATGGGTTTAAGCATCACCTCTAGGAAGACGACTGCCAGATCTATGTATGTATTTAGCCCAGTCTTTCCACTGATTTTCAGGCTTACATCACCAATGGCCTACTGGCCATTTCAAACTGCACATCCTGGAGAAATCTCACACTCAACATGTCCAAAATCAAACTCTAACTCCACCCCCGCTTCCCAAACTCTCCCCTCCTGAATTTTGCCATTTCAAAGAAATCTTCCATTTCCCCAGTTCATAATCTCAGCATTAAGCTCAACTCCTCATTCTCCAGCCACCTTCGCTCCCAGAACTGACCTCAACTCCTCACTCTACTTCACCCCCATGTCTAACCAGCTGCCAAGTCTTGAAGTTTCTAACTTCTCATCATTTCTCTTATATATACATCCACTTCTTTCCTCTGACACTGCCATTTCATTTGTAAGTTTTGCTGGCATAACTGGACAAGACAGTTTCAAATAATTTCCTTTTTTCTTGCTCACTTGTTATGAATTCTCCGTTTTATGGGTGAGTTCATCCTATCACAGTCACAGTTAGGATTATTAATTGTGCATTTCCTTCCATCCTATGCTCTTATACTTTTTCCCCTCCCCATCCCCCTGCTCCCTTGGTTTCTCCTTCACAAAGAAAAGGGTGGTGAGATGGGAGTGTGATCAACACAAGTGATCTATATTTGATGCAATGTGCTTCTATTCCTCTCCTCTTTTTCTCTTTCCCTCACCCAGCCCCTGATCATGTTCTTACTTTTTCCTTCCTTTCCTTTTATTCTTCCCTTTTGGATCTATTCTCTGAAGTTGGAGTTTATTTTGCTGATGTCTGATCTCTCCATAAATCTACTCTTCCCCTTACTCCCTTCTCCCTTCTCCCTGTTCCCACCTGCTTCCCTATTGGGTTTGACATAGTTCTACCCCAAAGTCTTTATGTGTATATGTGAGTACATGTAGGTATATTTTCAACTCTCCTTTGTCTGGCTGAAATTAAAGGGAGGTTCATGTAATAGCCTACTTCTCCCAACCCTTTCACATGTTTGCATAGTCTTCTCATGCACCTCAGTCATGTGAGATAGTAAGTAACCTCCTTCATCCATCCTTCTCAACTTCATTTTTTTCCTTCCCTTTTCTTTCTCAAAAATCATCAAAACCTAGAAAAACTCTCAGGCCTCTATCTTATATTCTCCCTCTACCGCCTTTGAAGACCTTAGAGCTCTGTTACTTCTCCCACCATTGGAACATAAATGCATAGAGATGAAGCAAGGCTCTCTTGCCTCACTTCTGAGTCTATGTCTTGGGCATGCCTGGATCCACAGCATTTCTTTATCACTGGGGTTTTCCTGTAAGTACTTATTTTTCCAGTCTTAATACCTGAATGTATCTTTGTGTCAGGACCAGGTTTTGTACTCTCAAAGGAGTGGCAGGGCCTACTGTGGTCCTGATACATCACAGTTGGGGTCCTGCCACTGCTTCTTCCTTGCACTAAGTGATATGTTCTTCAAGGACCTCAGGGGCGGCTCAGGCCAGGGGGCTGCTCTGGTGCAGCACAATCCACAGTGTAGCTGAAGTGCTGCTTTCTCAGTCCAGGCCCGGAAGGCTTGCCGTCACCAGTCTGAGGTCAGAGCGGCACAGCTCCGAGATTCCCTAGCTTGCCCTTGGCCTTGTACAGCATTCAAGCTCTGTGGTCTTGGGCCCATTTTTCCTGGCTGAACCCTTTCTCTAGTGAAATGCTTGCAAGCTTTTGGCTATCTCCTTGTGGAGACTTGGGTTGGAAAAAATGCACTAACGATAGCTTCTCCTCAGATTACTTGGGCATTACTCAGCCTGGTGCTCTGTTTTATTCATAATTACCAGAGTTGTTATACAAGAGAGCTGGGCGATTCTGCTCCTATTCACTCTGCCATGTTGAGGTCTCTAGCTTATAACTTTAAAAACTGTTTTGTTTCATTTTTTAAAAATAAATGAATCTACAAATAATTGAAGACACCACCATCAAACTCCCAAAAAGTGACTGGTGAATAGCATGAAAGAAACAGAACTGACATTTATACTAGAACACAATTTTAAAAAATTAGGGCAGCTAGGTGGCACAGTGGATAGAGCACCAGCCCCGAAGTCAGGAGGACCTGAGTTCAAATCCGGCCTCAGACCAAACATTTGACACTTACTAGCTGTGTGACCTGGGCAAGTCACTTAACCCCAATTGCCTCACCAAAAAAAAAAAAAAGGAAAAAAAATCCTGAAAAATAATTACTATTAGAATAATAATGCTTTCAAAAATATTTGTTACTAACAACACTAGAAATGATTCTTCTATAGCATGTCGCTATTCAACAGGGACTAAAATACAGTGTTTCCCCTTCTTCTTGACCTTTCATTCCTATAATTTTCTAACTTTGATGCTCAAGAGGAAATGCTCCAAACATTAGGAAAGTGTCAGCTGAGACAAATGAACTAAAATATTGCTTACTGTCCCGTGTATTAACACCAGAAGGACTAGAATTTAAGAATACCTTGAAGGTATTCTTATGTATGAAGGTATTCTATGACAACTTGTGTCAGTCAAAACAGTACATTTTCTCTTAATTCATGAGGCAAAGAAAATACAAATAATAGGATGAAATTTTTTTATTTCAAAGTAAATCTTTGTGTTAAGTGACCCTCTTAGCCTTTGCAGTGTAATACTAGACTAGTTGAATTAATATTAGTTAATACAATTATAATAATAAGTAAAGTCTTCTCATAGCTTCTGAAAAGGTATCGAGCATTTATTGACAATTTCTTTCTTTTTTTGGACAGGGATTTCAGTGGCATGAGGGGCTACCAGTGAGTAAAAGCCTACTACCAGTGCATACAGGCATCTGTTCTGCAACTTACAGTTCTAAAGAGTAGTCTAGGGCACTGAGAAATAATTGACTTTCCCAGGGCTACGCAGTCAATGTGACAGAGGTGAGGCCTGAACCTAGGCCTTCCTGACTCTGAGGCTACCTTTCTATCCCTTGTGCCAAACTGTCTTAACACATACACATTTTCTAAACATACACACACACACACACACACACACACGTATACAGGTCTAGATGTGAAATTCTATGCATATATGTAGATATGCATATATATTCATATACCCCCACATTCCTCTCTTGAAGTATGGAGAACCATACAATTGAAAATAAAGTACTCAGCTTTGCCCTCCTAGCTAACTTGCACAGGAGCAGCTAGGGTTTGAGAGCACAGAACACAAACTTAACAAACAATTTTCAGAAGCATAAATAAAAGCTGGTAACAGCCCATGCATTGAAATTATCTGGGAACAGTGGTACAAATTGTACTGTATGAATGTAATGGAATATTATCGTGTCACAAGAAATAACAAACAGGAAATGTAAAGAAATATGACCTTCCTCTTTTCCCCACCCCCACCCTTATACTCTGGGACTTCCACTTCCATGTTGATGACCCTCCCAATGCTCTAGCTTCCATGATCCACATCTTCACTCTACCTCAGCCACACAAGGGATCGGTCTTGCTCTTGATTTCTTCATTACCCACACGCACTCCACCCCCAACATCCATAATTCTGACAGTCCTCTGACTGGCACCTCTTAGCCTCTCATGCCTCCCTGTGCATCCCCCATGCTAAACCCATCCTCCGTCCACTTTACTCCTCCGTGCTTTCCCAGGCTGTAATTACTGCTCTGGCCTGCGGCTTCTCCCTTCAAAATCTCAGCCTCAGAGCAGCCAGTTCAGCTTTATGCCACCATCCTTTCAGGGCAAGTTCCTTAGCTCCTGGTCTTATCTACATTCATCCCTTTCCAAAACCCCACCCAGGATCACTCCAACCACCAGCTTTTCTCCACGTGTAATGCATGGACAGAAGAAGTCACACCACCGTGTAACTGAGCCTAGTGCAAATGCAGGTATCCTATCTTGGCTGGGTCCTTACCTCTGCTTTAGTCCTCACTGACCAGCTCTCTATCAGCAGCTGTTGATCCTGTTCACGCCCATCTCCTCTGGGAGTTTACCCTCAATCATCCTCACATATTTCTATGTAGCAAACTGCTTGGCATAGATTCTGTACTGAATATTCTATGTGCATGCTGTTTCTCCTTGCCAAAATGTAAGCTCGTCAAGAGCATGGGCTGTTTCATTTCTGCCTTTGTCTCTTAAGTGCCTATGACATTAATAAAGGAATGACGTGGACCAAAGGAGGGCAAACTTAGATGAAGGAGTCCAACGTGAAGAAAGCAGCACTAGAAGGTGCACAATGAGCATGACTATGGAAAAATGAATGAATGAGTGAGGAGCACAATAAAATCACAAAAAAGAAGGAACGAGAGTCAGGGAAGCAAACTGGATGTTTCCAATATTTGTGTGTTCAAATTAATGCACATTTATGCTCTTACAGTCTAAATCACAGAATGTAGAGATGAACCTTAGAGATCATCTAGTTGAATCTCCTCACTTTACAGAAGAGGAAACTGAGGCCAAGTGAGGTTAAGCAACTGACACCTGGCCCAATTCCACACAAAATCCTTTTCTCTCCAGATGACCCCATGACATTCGTTAGTTTGCATTCAGTCCACTTCTATATTCCAGTCTGAGACCCAGGTCTGTTCTAGAGTAGATCCCAGGTCACCCAAGGCCATTCCAGAACATATCGACGTGTCCTTCCCCCCAAGGCAGACCTAAAACACCCCTGGATTCCCAGGCCAACCGCCTTTTCTGGAGCTGAACCTGAAACAGACCAGTCTCTAAGAGGGAAAAAAACAAGACTTTGTACCAGGCATTCACAGGTGCCCCTTCAGATTCACAACATGCCTAAAAGAACAGACCAGGTTAGAGTCCCAAGACTACTTGGCATCCATTAATGCCGGGCTTTCAATGCTGAGATCTCCTCAGACAAAACCATTCAGGAAACACATGTGTGTGCATGCCCACATATTATACACACATTTCTTCCTTCCGTGTGGCTCCAGTACGTCTCTGAAAAGTGAGTTCAGGGGCTTCAGTGAATCTTCCCATACACTAGAGAGAACCCACTGTAGGAAGGCCACTCTAGAAAGCTCTGGGGCCTTCTTACCTCACAGTAGACTATGTCAGCTCCGTAGTCCAGGGCCAAAAGACGCATGGGAAGAGTCCCTACTCGAACCATAGGGGCCAGGATGACTTTGCCCTGGTAACACAGCATGAGATTGTTCACAGTCATTCCTCCTCTGCTATGAGCTGAAACAGGAAACAAGAGTCAGAAAGATAAAGGAGGAAAATCATCTCTAACGTTCAAAGTGATAGTTCTGATTTTCATCTTATGTCTAACGCAGGGTACTCTGCCCCGGATTCACCTTGGGTTTTTTTGACCTGACTGGCTAGTTCCATAAAGAAGTCATCAAGGCAAGAATGTTGTACCAGAATTATCAATACTCAAGGAGGAGAGTAATAATAGGAAGCAGATAATACCTGATTTGTGACTCCCAAAGTCACAAAGGCTCTTGGAGGAATTAAACTACACATAAACACTATGGATATATAGATATACAGGTATATATAGATATGTATAGATATATATGTATGTGTGTGTGTGTGCATGTGTATATATATATATATATATATATATATATATATATATATATATATATATATATATATATGCACACCCACCCACCACTGTTGTACACAGCTGTGCCACTGGAGCTTTAATTTATAAAATACAGTTTCACAGGAGACAAGAACAAATTGATCGGTATAGCCCAATTTCTTAAATCCCAACTGGTCTATAAGAAATGATGAAGAGGATGGTTTCAGAGAAACCTGGGAAGACTTGCATAAACTGATGCAGAGTGAATAAGTGGAGGCAAAAAAACAATTTACATAATAACCACATAATTAAAAGATAAACACCTTTGAGATACTTAGAACTCTGATCAACACAACTATGATTATAGAAAACTCATGATGAAACACGCAGAGTACAAACTGTGACCTATTTGGGGGTGATTGGGGTGGGGAGGTCATGGGATTGATTTGCTTATGTTTATAGCAGAGGTTTTGTTTTTCTTTCTTTTTCAGTGGGGGATAAAGGTGAGGAGAAGGTAGGAGAGAGAGAGAAGGTAGATTTTTGCTAATTGAGAAGGAAATAATTTTTAAAATCTAGAGTTGAGGAAAAAAGAAAACTGGTTAAGCTTCCATGCGAATCATTCAGATTTAATGATGAGTTTTAGAGGAGTCCAAATCCTGTTAAGAGGCTACAATTGTTACTAAGAAATTTATTTCACAATCATAGCCAATAAATATTTATTAAGCAACTCCTATGTTGCCAGGCACTGTGCTAAATGCTGGGATATAAATAAAAAAAAGGCAGTCCTTGCCCTCAAGGAGCTCATAATCTAATAGAGACAACAATACACAAAAGGAAGCTGAAAAGGTGGGGAGTAGGGAGATGGGACAGGCGTTAGGTACTAGGGGGTCTCAAACCCTCCGGCATGAAACCAAGCAGCACAGAAAATGAAGTTAGCTGGAAAATTCTAAATCAAGGGGGAAAGTATCAAAGCTGAATTAATCTCCAGGATGATAAGACTTTAGGTGATGAGCTTATCCTGGGAGAGGCATGATATTCCTGGCACCTAAACTAAGCAAGCACAGCCGGTGGGAAACAACGCTACCTGGAACATCCTAAGCTCCCTACAAAAGGGAAGCTTTGGGATTTATGATTTTGTCATTGTGAGCACTGCCCCCCCCCCCAATGCAGACAGAAACCTCTCTACAACCATGGTCTTCCTGAAAAGTTGCTGTGGCAGAGAAATCTGTCACCTTGTAGTTAACAGGGATGAACCTCTTCAAATGAAGCTAGATTGGTCTTTGGCCAATACACACAGTCTGTCTTAGGCCCCATAATGAACTAACTACTGAAAAATGTCACAAAGATGTGCTCAGACAACTCCTACTCGGCACAGAATACCCACTAGAATATCCTCAACCAGTGGCTGCTCAGTCTTTGCCATCATCTCATCAGGCAGCTCATTCCATCTTCTTTCCTTATACTGCCTTATGCCTCCCTGCAACTCCTGTGCACTGGCCACCATTCTGCTCTGTGCAGTCACACAGAACATAGCTGATCCTTCTTCCATGGAACAGCCTTCCAATATCTGAAAAAAGTGGGCAGGCCCTTCCTAACGCTACTTGCTCTAGGACAAACATTCCCAGTTCCTTAAATTTCCTACATGACATAGTTTTGGGTCTCTTCATCATGCTTGTTCTCTAAACTTGCTTCAGCTTATTAATTGATGATGAAAGCTAGGAAATTTTTAAGCAACCAAGTTGACCAAGACGACATAGAGAGGAAGTCAGATCGTACTACAATCAGTTTTGAAGGAAAAAAAGTGATATGGCTATCAAGGGGAAAATAGAAATATAAGGGCAAAAAGGTTTGGCTATTTCCATTCTAAATATCTATTTAAACATTCATTTTCCTTTCAAGTTTTATTATAAACATTAAAACCATTAACAAATAAAATAAAATTTTAACAAAACTTGAGCTCCAAAATACTCAATTTGATCCCTCCCTCACTAAAAAGCACATGTAGGTTTGCAGAACACACCAATGGCATCTTATTTGCTCCTGTATCCCTCTTCCTTCTTTCTTCTTCTATTAACATTAATTTTATAATAGAAGCTAATGACACATTCCCTCCTTTACCGATGATGCAGACACAAAAACTTCTTCAAAGTCCACTTGGGAAAAGCCCTAGACTTTGAAATATGTCCCATTAGGCATCCTTCAACAACAGAAAATATATTTTGTCTTTGAGAAAGTCAGTCTAGCAAGTACGTGGTGGCAGACAGAGGTGATAAAGACCTATTCACATAGACACCTCTAGCACAGGAAGCTTTTGTTTCAACCAAAAGTTAGAAAACCCTAAAACACTGTCTGCCTGAACAAACTATTCACTCATCATGAGAAAGAAAACTTCTGGGCTTTCAGGCTAACTGCAAATTCTAGGTTCTATAACAGCTGTCCAGGGAAAGCAACAAATGAAATCACACATGGCACAGCAGGGAAAAGATTTAGATTTGGATTCAGGAGACTTGAATTCAAATTCTGACCCAGATACTTACTAGCTGTGTGACCCTGGCCAAGCCACTTCACCTCTGAGCCTCAGTTTCCTCACCTGTAAAATGGACATACACCCTACAATTCACAGGGTTACCATGAGAAATGCATTTTTAAAACCTTAAAGCACTATATAAGCTGTGAGTTATTGTCACACCAGAGTCCTCACTTGCACTGCCCTCTGGATGATGTTGAACTAAGAGTCCTCACAGATCAGTATTCCAAGATACATAATATCTGCTTGGTGATTAGACAGCATCATCAGAGAGATATTGATGTCAAAGTAAAGCAATAAAGTCCAGGATCTCCTAAGTGTGAACACCTCTAAAGGTGGCAACTACAGCCCATTCACTCTTTTTCTCCTGTAATTTTTATTCCTATCCTCCAAAGGCCTTCTTGTAGCTCTCGACCCTGGGTGGGTTCCAATGTAACCTATGTGCTGTCTGCTGAATCTTAACACTTGACCTCTTGCTGGTCAAAGATCTCTCTCTCTCCCTTTATACCACATCTACTGAGCAGTTTTTCACTGGTAATGTGCTAAAGGCTGCTCACAGCCATCACGTATCTCTCCATTACCCTTTGGATAATCTGAAACTTTAATTCTTCAGAGACGATGGTATTCGATGACTCACAGTCATATAGGATCACTGCAGGAATGCTGATATTAACAGCAACAGTCTGTGTATATGGTAAATGGAAAAAGAAGGGTAGATGTGAGAGACAGACTGTGACAGTGCCTCAGTTATTCTGTTCCCCCTGCCCCAGTGATCTCCATTGAAAACAGAACCCTGGAGGGACTTCAGAAGCCACAATGCATACATATTATACGAAATGAAATCTGATCTTACAGTCTCTCATCATGGCTCCCTGGCATCATCATGGCTCCCTGGCATTATGGGGGAGGGGGAGGGGAGCAGAGGGTGGAGTCCCACTAGCAAATAGTTCAAACCCTGATTCCAGCAGATTCCAGTAAACTACTTCAATCCCTGGCAAACACTCACCGCTCCCAATTGTGGTACCAGTCTCACTGCAAATGTCTGTTTTGCCCTAATTTCGTCTGAATTCACCAGCTTCACATACCTATGTGAAGCTATCCTGGCTCCCAACCTGCACAATCATCTCTCTCTCTCAGAAGCATCTATCAATAGATGTCATTCAAGTTTATGTCATGATTGTCCTAAATGCTCCCAGACCAACTAGTAAGCACTTGCTTCTCTGATATCCAGAAAAACAGTGGAATGGGGAGGATATTTTATCTTTAAAAAACTTTTTTTAAAAAAAATTTGAACTTATCGCCAAATAAAACAAGCATTTCCACACAAAAGCAGAAGAGAAAAAGAGGACTGCACATCCAGCTGTATATAACTTGTTTCTCCCTCCAAGTACACAACAAAGTAAACATATTTTCAACACTGTCCTTTTTGTTTCCTACTGAAAGAAGGGTATCTTCCATAACGAAATACGACTGGATTTCTTTCCTTTTCAGTCACACAGCATCTGATACTTCAGCACATTATGATGGTAGTAGTATCAATGACTTCACAACAACCCTGTGATGTAGTTAGTGTAAGTACTAATACTTCCATTTCGCAGATCAAGAAACTAATTAACTGCATCTTGGAGACTTGTCTGGTCACCCAGCTACTAAGATTTAGAAATGGGACTTGAATCCACATGACAAGTTAGGTATTCTTTCCACTATACTGTGAGGCCTCAAGCAACTTTTCAAAAAAGTTGTCTTAACACTGAAATGACTTGCTTCTATTGGGAGGAGAGAATCCCACTGTAATCGTAAACATGGATACCTTGTTCAGAACAACTGATTGCAGTCATATAAGTTACTCTTGAGTTACATGTGATGAATACGTGCAACTCCATAGTTAGATGCTGCAAAGCACTGCAAACCTTCAAAATGATGCCCCTAGCTAAGGAAATAATCACAGTTATTACAAGCTGAATTCTCTACCTAAAGGGAGATGGAGATTGGTATTAGAGAATACAGGAACAATCAGATTCTCATCTAATATACTTGCAGAGATATACTAGTTATATAAACATTAACCTCACTTTTTTAGGAATCTTCCCAAGTTGTTTGATACCAAAATCTCCCGCAACAAGG